CTCTCTATGTCTCACTATCCCACTTTATTCTCTGTCAAAATTGTATGAATTCTCTCTCTCTCTCTCTCTCTCCTCGTCTCTCAGAATGGGAAGGAGAGGAACGGAGAGTCGACGAGGCTCATTTGGGGTGTCTGGAAGAATCTCCTAAGTCGTTAAAACTGTGATGAGGATTCTTGTCTTCTGTCTTGGTAGTGATGATGGTGGTGGGTGGTGATGGTGGTGATAGTGGTGGGTGGTAGTGGTGGGTGGGTAGTGGTGGTTGGTAGTGGTGATGGTGGTGGGTGATGATGGTGGTAGTGGTGGTGTAGCAGACTAGTGTCGTGTCAGCCGCGGTGTGTGAAGCTACTCATTTTGTGTCTCTCATCACGATTATTTATTGAAGGCTTCCACATCAAGGTGTGTGTGTGTGTGTGTGTGTGTGTGTGTGTGTGTGTGTGTGTGTGTGTGTGTGTGTGTGTGTGTGTGTGTGCGCGCGCGCGCCCCATGTTGTTATATCACAAGTGTTACTCTCGGTTATTGACACTGGGCCAATTTTTTGTTTAAACATTCTGGTTACTTATTGTTCTCCCGAAAGCAACCTACGAGCCGTAATTAATTTGTTTAACCAAATACTGTTTACGTGATTGGGAACATTTCGGGATAAGTCTTCCAGCCATTTTTTTTTTTTAAACATTCCAGATAGCAAGTTCGAAAAGTAATACCGAATGTTGAGTCGGCCCGAGTTGCGGCATTATGGTTACTAAATGGTAACCCATATGGAATATACAAACTACCAATGGAGTTTGACTCGTCGCGTTAGCCACATGGGAGTGTTTCACCTTATGTCACTTCAGCCACTCCTCCCTCTTTCCAGTCATTAAAAAATCGTGGCGTATTTACACACTCGGTAATATTCCCTTTTTAGACGGATGAGAATTGTGATTTTTTTTTAAGAAACCTTCGGATAATCTTCTCCAACCTTGGTGGTACTGAGTGTTGGGGTGGAGGTGTGATGCTGCTTCACCTGCCTGTACTGTGTCCAGCCTCATTGGTGAACTTGTGGTGGCAGTGCAGTCTGTCCAGTACAGTCAAAGCCATAGTGTGCAGCTTCGTCTTGGCTGTCATACCTGGCCTCTTACTGCTCCTCCGGCATGATTATCTAGCTTAAAACAAATGTCTTTTAATGTTTTGTATTAATAACTGAAATAATATTTTAGGGTGATATTGTACATCTGGGCAGTAAAATCTGTACGTACTATACTGTTTAGTATTTCCACTCATAAATGTCTTAACAGGATGCATGTGAAGGTTCCCCAATACACACAAATACACTCACCAACATTATGTTCTGTGCACACTTGCATGTAGCCTGTGTATACACGTGTTTGCATGTGAGATTGTTTCACATGTTTGCCAATTTACCAAACCACTGGAGATGTTTAGGAAATATATCAACACCTTGTTACAGTTACCAAGAGGATGTTGCAGCTAATGTTGTACAGTATATGCGTGTTTTATGGTCTGTAACGAAAGTGTGGCTTGTGACAATTTCAATACTGTTGTAATAAAATGGTTCGCAGTTAGCAAAATAATTTTTCAGGTAATAGATTAAAAATATATTTTTATTTCAAATGATAGGCAAATTTACGATAATTCAAGTGTTACTAAATACAGTATTTATTTACCCTGCTGGTGGAGGGCAGGAGAATCGAGCCCTAGTGGTGATGTGGTCAGTCTGTTGCTACATGTAGAGTAAACATAAAACTTATCGTTCATCTTTCAGTGTATTGGGTTTATAGTTATTTCTACCCCAGGTGTCAACTCAGGTGAACTCAGTCCTTCTTGTGACAATGGTCAGAATACTGTACAATACTTTTAATAAAAATGCACATTAATTATTGTATTTTCAAACACTGCATCTTATGTTTCTGCCATGCACAGGCCAACCGGCCTAGTGCAGACTCCTTATTTTCTTATTTCCAAGGGCGGATCGGGGGTCCTGGGGGTCCTGGATCGCCCCTTTTCATCAGAAAATTCCAATAGTACTTATTCCTTAATGTAGTGTTGTACTTAGGCATTTTTGTATTGTGAAAAGTTATTACTTTTGACCTAAAAATATCTCCTAATATCAAGTGCACATAGCTTTAAAATGGCCTTAAAATGTCCATGATACTGGTTAGATTTAAAAAAAAAAAATTATGGAGGGTGCTTACAGCTCCCCCCCCCCACCAACCCCAGCTGGGTGGGCTCGCTTTGCTCACCATGTTCTCCCCACCCACAACTTCTCGGACCCCCCTCCCCCCCCTCTGATATTCCTGGATCCACCCTTGATCTCTCATGTGTTACAGGAGACAAACTGAGCCTCACAACACACACACACACACATTGTTTACAAATATATTTTTTGGGGGGTAAATTTTCCCAGTTCTATTGAAAATTGAAGTTTATGGTAATGTTTTCCCCACTGAATGTTCTCACCTAACACTAGAACTTTTATGGCATTTGACTAACTACAATTTTTTCTGCTATGGCATTTTAGGAGTTGAAGGATGAAACTGTTGAATTGGTTGTGGTGGCCCTCGTCATGGCTAACCCTAGTTGTGGTGGCCCCCGTCATGGCTAACCCTAGTTGTGGTGGCCCCCGTCATGGCTAACCCTAGTTGTGGTGGCCCCCGTCATGGCTAACCCTAGTTGTGGTGGCCCCGTCATGGCTTCAGTTGTGGTGGCCTGTCATGGCTAACCCTAGTTGTGGCCCCGTCTTACTAACCCTAGTTGTGGTGGCCCCCGTCATGCTAACCCTAGTTGTGGTGGCCCCGTCATGGCTAACCCTAGTTGTGGTGGCCTCCGTCATGGCTAACCCTAGTTGTGGCCCTCGTCATGGCTTAACCCTAGTTGTGGTGGCCCCCGTCATGGCTAACCCTAGTTGTGGTGGCCCCGTCATGGCTAACCTAGTTGTGGTGGCCTCGTAACCTAGTTGTGGTGGCCCCGTCTTAACCCTAGTTGTGGTGGCCCTCGTCTTAACCCTATTGTGGTGGCCCCCGTCATGGCTAACCCTAGTTGTGGTGGCCCCCGTCATGGCTAACCCTAGTTGTGGTGGGCCCCCGTCATGGCCTAACCCTAGTTGTGGTGGCCCCCGTCATGTAACCCTAGTTGTGGTGGCCCCCGTCATGGCAACCCTAGTTGTGTGGCCCCCGTCATGGCTAACCCAGTTGTGGTGGCCCCGTCATGGCACCCCTAGTTGTGGTGGCCCCGTCATGGCTAACCCTAGTTGTGGTCCCCCGTCATGGCTAACCCAAGTTGTGGTGGCCCCCGTCATGGCTAACCCTAGTTGTGGTGGCCCCCTCATGGCTAACCCTAGTTGTGGTGGCCCCCGTCATGGCTAACCCTAGTTGTGGTGGCCTCCCCGTCATGGCTAACCCTAGTTGTGGTGGCCCCGTCATGGCTAACCCTAGTTGTGGTGGCTCCCGTCATGGCTAACCCTAGTTGTGGTGGTCCCCTTGGCTAAACTCTAGTTGTGGCCTCCGTCATGGCTAACCCTAGTTGTGGTGGTCCCCGTCATGGCTAACCCTAGTTGTGGTGGCCCCCGTCATGGCTAACCCTAGTTGTGGTGGCCTGTCATGGCTAACCCTAGTTGTGGTGATCCCCGTCATGGCTAACCCTAGTTGTGGTGGCCTGTCATGGCTGTAACCCTAGTTGTGGTGGTCCCCGTCATGGCTAACCTAGTTGTGGTGGCCCCCGTCATGGCTAACCCTAGTTGTGGTGGCCCCGTCGTGGCTAACCCTAGTTGTGGTGGCCCCCGTCATGGCTAACCCTAGTTGTGGTGGCCCCGCGTCATGGCTAACCCTAGTTGTGGTGGCCCTCGTCATGGCTAACCCTAGTTGTGGTGGCCCCCGTCATGGCTAACCCTAGTTGTGGTGGCCCCCGTCATGGCTAACCCTAGTTGTGGTGGCCCCATCACTTCAACTAACCCTAGTTGTGGTGGCCCTCGTCATAGCTAACCCTAGTTGTGGTGGCCCCGTCATAGCTAACCCAAGTTGTGGTGGCCCCGTCGTAGCTAACCCAAGTTGTGGTGGCCCGTCATAATAACCCTAGTTGTGGTGGCCCCGTCATGGCTAACCCTAGTTGTGTGGTGGCCCCGTCTCTTCAGCCCAACTTAGTTGTGGTATTTTCGTCATGGCTAACCCTAGTTGTGGTGGCCCCCGTCATGGCTAACCCTAGTTGTGGTGGCCTCCGTCATGGCTAACCCTAGTTGTGGTGGCCTCCGTCATGGCTAACCCTAGTTGTGGTGGTCCCCGTCATGGCTAACCCTAGTTGTGGTGGGTAAGTTACTATACAGTAGTAGAGGCGTCAGTTGCATGTTAGTGTAATATGTTGGTGTGGCGCTGCCCTGTATAATATAGCCTTCAAATGGACCAAGGTAGTCAGTGTGTGTGTCTCTCACTCTGACACTGTAATACACACACACACACACACACACACACACACACACACACACACACACACACACACACACACACACACACACAAATGATAACAATATTTCTTGTAATAAAATATTTAATATATGCATAAAGTTTGAATAATATTTAGATTGAGAAAGAAGTACAGTACTGGTTAGTGATTACTCAGTTCTAAGCTCATTTTGCCTCCTTCAGTAAGTCAGTGGAGTTACTGTTGTGCTTCTAGGCAAAAGAAATAATTATGTATGTATCAGTAATTCAATGTACATGTTTACCATGATCACATAAATGTAATGAGTATGAAGACTGTGACGAGTGATATATCCTCACTAATGTTGCCTAATGACTACACAGTACAGTACTGTGGTGTTTAGGAGTGAGTGGGGTACTACAGTAATGTCATTTTCTTATCTCCCATTTTACTTCCTTTCCTCTTTTAATAACCGTAAACATAGACCTAACTGAAACAGTCATGTGGAAACCCATAACAAAGTTTGTATAACAACATAGGTCTAACTAACAGAATTTGTCCAATACGCTAATGAGTTCTGTTCTCCACAGTCACCACATCTTGCCCATCGTGATGGGGGCTCACCCGGACGACTACGCGCGGCAGGCACCAGAAAAGTCTTACATCCATATAGACGACTTTGAAACACCGAGAGAACTTGCCAGTTATCTACATCTTCTCGATCAAAATGATGATCTTTATAATGAATATTTTAGGTGAGTAACGGTGATAGTGAAACAGGTTTATTTGTAATCTACAGTATTGTATTTTTATGAGTATTAACTGTTTGATAATGTGAGGGAGAGATGTTATTGTCTGTTTTATATGAATCATATATGGATTGTCTGGGTATGCTCTTATTTATAATTTTATCTTTTCTTGCTTCTTTAGATTTATTTCTTGTTTAAGATTATCACTTTGCAGTAATATCTCCATTACCCGAATTTCCTCTTAACTAAACTCTCCAATAGCTGGAATTAAAATTTGCTCTGAATTTTCTGGAAAATTCCGGGTTCAGGAATGACTTTTTAAGGGGCGCATTTTCCGGAAATTCCGAGAAAATTTTTGCGGTACCTGGAAAACTTCCTAGGATGGGAGATTTTTTCGGGGGGTGGGTGGTGGCTTGAGGGATGAAATAATGCTTCATTCTGGAAAATTCTTAGAAAATTACGGTACCCGGAAAAATTCTGGGGGATTTTTTCCAGGTTTGAGACATGGTGTAATGCATAATTTCTGGAAATTCTGAGAAAATTTTCCAGCCACCTGGAAAATTTAGGAAAATTCTGGGTATGGTGGAGCTCTGCACCAATTGTTCTGGCTAACTGAGATATCACTGTACAGGGAGTTCTGCTATAACGCGTGTTTTGATAACGCGAATTTGCTCTAACGCGATTTATGAATTCGGAACAATATTTGTATAACGCGAACGCTTGTTTGCTATAACGCGATTTTTGCTTACTATTTCTCCAATTTTGTGGTATTAACTGTGAATATGGTAAAGAAGAATATCTCCAAAAGGCGCTCTGATGATAGAATTCCCGGTGATTATCGTAAAAGAAAGGATATAACACTTGAAGAGAAGCTCAATGTTATCAACCTCAAAATCACCCTTCTCCCCCATCAAGTTACATTCATATTTTTTCAAGGTAAAGTGTTAAATTTACTGTATGATTTCATTATTAGATATGAGTGTAACATTTATTTAGACTGTGCTATCCTTTGTGTTAGGCTAAATACAAAATTTTTTCGATTTCGAGTAATCTGCACCTAACCCTATTTTCTCCATAAGCCCTGTTATTTCTATTACGCGATTTTCTATAACACGATATTTTACAAGAACACAATTATCGCGTTATAGCAGAACTACCTGTACATGTACAATAGTTTTATGCCAGACACTACTGCAAATGTTTCTCATAGGTGGGTAAGAACTTTCTCTCTTTGTATAAGGTTTGGAGTTTCCTTATCATCTCAAGATGTCAGTTTACTGTATTTTATCTTGACTGGCCAACGCAAGAGGGGATCTGAACCTTGAATGTCAATGGGGGTTCTGCCTGAGAGGCTAATATGCCCCGTGTACAATTTTTTTTGTTTCTCATTTTTCCCAGAACCAAGTAACAACCATAAAAGTATACCCTGTAGTTAATTGAGATATACTGTATTTAATCATTAACTTCTTGAACAGGTGGAAAGGCACGGGCGAGTTTATCAATACTTACTTCATGTGTCGACTGTGTGGGATGCTTCACGACGAGGGTCACCAGCAGCACTATGAAGACATAAACGTGTGGTGGCGGGGAACAGGAACCTGTATCAATGGATCCTGGAGGAAATATGATAAGTTTAAAATGGAGCCAGAGAAGAAAAAGACTCCTGAAGGTTAAACGTTTATAATTTTCTTATTGACAAAAAAAAAAACTTGATTTTAACTTGTCATCCACCAAAAAAGTAAGTGATTGAAAACAGATTTATGAGGAAGAGTAACATGTAATTACCATTAACTTTTAAAAAAAAATGGCGTGTTTGTCTTGGATAACAAATTCTCTTGAAGTGTACATGTATTGAAAACCCATACATGGACATTTTGATGGTAGTGCTACTTGTGATTTTTGCTCACAAAATTTACTCTGCAATTACTGTTTGTATATTGTACGTTATTTTCTTGGGCACAAAACTATAAATTAAAAGTTGATATACAGTACAGTAGCTTCAACAGGTAAAAGTGAACTGGATGATAAGAATGTTGAAGTTGTTTCATATTTGTGAGGTGCTGAAAATGTTTTTAAAGCTCAAGTTTCAGCAGGTGTTTTTGTTATAATATAAAGACACAAATACTGTGGTGATAATTATATTGTGAGATGGTAACAACAGATGGTCAGTTGTGAATGTAAAGTTTGGACTGGTGTATTGTACAGGTGTATAAAGGTTGATGTGTGTGCATTGGAGGTTTGCTTTTGTGTTTAAAAGATGGGCTCTTAAAGTTACTGTATGCGCAAAAGAAATTAATGAAAGTAGTTGAAAATTGCTGGTACTGAATACTGTACTGCAGTACAGTGCAGTGCAGTAATTGAATCTTCACTAGAGGTGTTCTGGTACTTTGATAACTTCTAAAGACTGTATTTTACTCTGCAAATCTTCCTCCTGGTATAAAAAATTTACTCTGTAGTTAGTCTAATAAACAGGTTCTGCCATTAACTTTTTTCCTCCAGAATCTTCTTGAGCACATACAGTAAAGTAAGTAAAGCTGTAACTTTCATAACCCTGGACATCAGTACAGTATGTAGAAGTTTTCTCAACTACCATAGTTAGTACAATGTCTTTATCTCATGTTGGGACTTAAACATCATAGTTCTCAAAGCAACAACTCCTTTTCCTTTTTGATTTGCTCTTTCTGATGAAATTCCTTGATGTTGGTAAAATTTAGAGGCCCAAAACTGAGTCTAACCTAATGCATATGCTTGTGTAAAATTTAACCACTTGTATGTAGCATCCTTAGTGGAGGGTAATTTGGAGCTATGCTGGGTTTTTCTAACATTTTTTGCCTTGGTAGCTTGCTGGGTATTGTCAGATTTTAACAATTCCTTGAACTTCTTCTCTTCCTTATAATCAATGAACAGTGCAAAGGAAAGGCAGACCCCATAAAGTGCACACAACTCAAGTCAGTGTTGGGGCAACTGGGAGGCATCTCATTCTCTTAACTATATACAGTACAGTATATATCATTACTGTATGTAACATCAGCCTAATTTTACATATACAGTATACTGTGCAGTATAAGGTAAGTTGACCTCCTTCTCTAACATGAGAGGAAAGATTAGCCCCTTATAAACATTATATCTTATGCAATATGACTCTCAATATTTAGGCTTGTTAAACATGCTACAAAATTACATGCACAATTGTAGTCCTTTAGAAATCAAAGAAAAATCCTTTCTTTGTGGCACCAATATTGCGTGTCTATTACTGTACTTCCAGGCACTCATGCCTGCTGTTTTCCTCCATTTTTATTTCACTTAAATTATTTTCAAGTTTCCACAACTGTCACCCTTATAAAAAAAAGATGGATGGGGAGACAGGTGCAGCACTAATGCTTCCTTTATACTGTGTGCACAAAATGTAAAGTTGGCTGAGCCATAAATTGAATGGGCCACACAGCCGTATCTTCACCATTCTTCTGAAGTACATGATATGTGTCACACTTTATACTATACTGATGACTACTGGTGAACACTAGGTGTCAGAACACATCAGTCTTCATATTATTTATCATTTATCATGTAAACTGCAATTATATACAGTTATGGGTGTTTATTTAACCAATATTCCTATATTATCTCAGCTTGGTCACCCCCATATCTAAATAATGAGAGTCTTATCGTATTTGTACATGTCATTTTGAGGCAGCCTATAATTTCACAGGTACAGCAGTTGGCCATCACATACACTGTGAATTTTGGAAAAGAGAGAACCTCCTTTACTGTATTCCCTCTTAAATATTATCACAAAGGGAGCTTTTGCCGCATTTTTTTTTCTGTGAGGACTTTGTAAAGATACATCTATTCTTAAGATTAAAAGTGCAAAAGTAAATGCCATTCAGAAAATGTTTTTTAGAATACTGGTGCACTTTTAACCAAACAACTCTTTCAACATAGCCTTCAGCTTTACTTGCTGGTGCATTACTCTCTCATCCTATTGTCAATCATATACTGTACCGTTAAATAAAGAAAAATAAAATAATCTTAATTGTTGATGAGCATTGTATGAGCATAGCAATAATTACCGTGTTCTTGGGAAAGTACTGTATATAAGTGAGGTCTGGTTGTTATACAAAGGTACCAATGGCTTGAAATGTTATCGAGAAAAAGATGAATATTTTGTAGATAAATGAAAACTTGGCAAGAGGTTATTTATGATATCAGATAATTACACCATGACATTACTTGATGTATCATTGCTGGTCAATATAACATAAACAAGTTGCACAAACAAGAATTTAGTTTTGGGTAGTTGTTAGCAGTACAGTACAGTATACCATATCCTGGGGTTCAGACATGAGTGTCCATGTTTGTAGAAGCACAAATTTGCCAATACAGTAACTGGTTCTGTAATATTATAAACTTATATAGTAGTCCATATCTGAATGTAAATGTTTTCATGACGTTCACCAAAGACATCCATTTACCATAAATTCAACAATACTTATATTTCTTAGTTTTGTATGTCAGACACATTCACATATAATAATGAATTGTAGTATTACAAGATGATTTTTTGCCTTTTACTAAACTATATCTGGGCTCATAGGTGCAAGCAGCACTCAGGATAAGACAGTGTGTATGTACATAATAAAGGGTATGTGATTTTCTCTCAATAGAAATTTGCATAATTAATGACAGACATATTACTGAAAAATGCATCTTATAGATTTAACTAACAATGCACTAGACCTTTATTGTAGACAAATGTTCCTTTAATGAGTAGCATAATTGTCAAGATTATTGGACCAATATTATCTCAGTATCTTAGGGAGGTTCCACATTACTTGTGCACAACCTACAACTATCAATGGACTTATTTGGTTTATGTTTTTGTTAAGACAGTCTTCACCAAGCTGACTGCTTGGCAAATTGTGAGATTTTCTTTCACATGTTACATTTCTTTATATATTAAAATCAGGTTCAAATAAATTTAGTTAATACACGTTACTACCATTAATGTGTAACAAAAGTTCCGAGAAGACAAATAGGTTAATTAAGAGGGCAGAAAGGGACCCTTCCTATGTAAAGTGAAGTCTGCATAGTTCTGTAATCTGCTACTTATTTATAGTTTGTCTTTTGTATTCCATGTGCTGTGATATGAGTCCTAGTTAGCAGATACAGTTATAAGATGCTGACGTGGTTCATGGCATCATTTGTTTTATCTATTCATGGCTTTATTTTATGCTGTCGTGAGTATTCAGTAGATACTATATGCTGATTATTGCTGTATTTTACATATATTGTGATCACTTTCCAGTTGTCCTACTTTTAGTGTGATATTCATGCAGTTTAAATCTTGGTGCGTGTTCTTGTGTTTTGAATTATTTATTTATGTATGTGTGTTTGAGAAAGTGAATATATATTCCTGATTTATGCATTTTTGTTTGGGATTAGGTTAAGAAAAATCTTTCTTGCAGTCAATATGGTTTAGAGGACATGACCCATTAGATAAAGGGTTGAATATACTAAATATGATTGTTAAATTTTCCTGTATACAGTATCTGAAAATAGTAATGTAATGAATTTGAGCTCAGGGCATAAATACTTCATATGCTTAGGAGTTTATAAGTGACCATGAACAAGAACAGGAATTGCTCTTAAAATCAAGATGGTTGATGATAAGTTGCTGTAGAAATTTATGAATGCTTTATATGGCATGACAGTCTTCAGTTACCAGTACAGTTCTCTTATTTTTGTTGGCTACAGAATTAATTTCTTATAAACTCTTCCACTGCTAAAGCTCAAAGTCTGTGCACATTGCTTTTTTTAAAGAAAACAAAAAATAGTGTACACATTAATCATATAATTTTGTTGGGTTCACAAGTTGATTCTGGGAAGGTACCAATACTTTCCGCAGGAACAGAACTTTTACTAAATCTTTTGTGTTCAGTTGTTATCCCCTTCTTGTTGGTTCTGTGTTAGCAAGTACTGTATAGATTGCTTCCATATTTGATATATTGTGTTGACAATGCAATTCATATTTTAGTTGAACGGTGTATTTTAATACTGTACAATACAGTACAGTATATTCAAACATTAAAATTAAGAACACATACTGAATGGAGCATGAAAATACTACACTGTAGTATAGAGGGATAAAAAAATAGGTCACTGACTCCTAATATTTATGACCATCAAAGATATTGTGCCAAAGGACCTACATACTAAAAAAAAAAAAAATCATAAAAATCTTAATAAAAGAAATTATCATGTACACTCAAGGATTATGTCCTCAGTAAAAATGTAGAGATGATAGGTGAAGCTAATGAACACCTCACCATAACAGAGGTTCATTAAGCCTCAGTAAACCTACCAACCAAAAAGTTTTAGAGTGTAGTGTTGTGTAAGGTTTCATTATGAAGCAGTAGCAGATGCAGCTTTAATATAAGAATGTTTTAAGTTGCTGGAGTTCACTCGCCGCACATAACTTTATAGGTAACATTTAATTTTACCATTTGTGATTTGTTCCTCAAGGGATGTTGATTCATAAACTTTGGTGTTTTTTATCACGTGCTGTACCATCATTTTATTATATGAAAAATGTAGTGCATTTAATGATGAATTTAATTAGTGTTGCCAGTCATAGACAGAGCACAGTACTGCCAATTATGGTAATGTGATAATGTTAACTCAATCATTCCATAGATTAAGATGAGGCAGGAACTATAGGTAATTACATAAGTTTTCATTGTACTGTATTGAATATTTATTTTTTTATATGGTATACTCAGAGTAAACTTATGAAATATCATGTATTTTCATCATTATCAAGATTGAAAAATGAATGGGTAAAATAACATGCAGCTTAGAAAATATACAAACAACTGTACACTTGATGTGCATGTTGCTTTTTTTATAAATGACTGGAATTTTTTGTTCATAGTTTGAAAAATGTAAAGTCCATAGTATCATCAACCATTAGTAGGCATAATTAAGGAGTCATTCTAACCAGTGTACTCCAGTGCAAGAAATGGAAGCCCTGTGGAAGACTGCACCGCTCAAAGTGAGGGTAGATCTTCTTATGTTGACTCAGGCTCTCATGTAGCATCTTTAAGTCAAGGTCACATTCTCTTTGGAGGTTTGTGCAAGAATGTGACTGAGAACCATTGTCATGACTAGAATGAACACCAAAGATAAAGCATATGATTTCAGAGTGACACATGGTACAATAGTTTGAATTCTTGTGCACTTTTTTTTCCTTTTGGAGAATGTGATCTTAGTACCAACAGTATTCATTTCCTACAGTTTAACTTTAGTTTAATATATATGTATATTTTCAATGTGTTATCTGGTATGATTATGTAGAATATCATTTTATACATACTCCTGAACTTTTTGAGTCCAAATTAAGTAACATTCTGCATTTATTCCATTACCATGTATCGCACAATGAATTAGCTATTTACCAGGATGAGTTTCATTTGTGGTGTTTTTATTGGTTGTGGATAATTTTTTTTAATTTGTGGATGTGAAGTCATACATTGTTAGCTTTTAGGGTCCATTGGCAATAACTGCCACTTGTACATTTATCATGACACTGTGTTTAAGAAAGAAAAAAAAAACATTTTAATGCTTAACATGTAGACTGTGTGATTTGCTAGTCCAATTAGTCTGTGCTGGTGAAAGTGTGTACAGTGTAGGACACAATGTAGTGCATTCCCAGATTTTTCATTGTACAGGTGTACAGTATTTCAAATAATGAAAATTAAAGTGGTAAGAAAGATTTTCTTTTCAAATAAGGTTGACAATAATTTTATTTTGTGGTACTGTACATGAAAATAATTTTGTGGATTCATAAGGGATGAAATAAACCACTGGCTTCCATCTCCCATCACAGGTTAAAAATATCTTAAATCTAATTAGGGATAGTTTCTGAAACAAGGTCATGATCATTATTTAGCATGATAAATTTATTTCTTTATTACACACACACACAGAGTACTGTATATGGGCAATCTGTCAAATTAAGCAATCTTTAAAATACCTGTGGAAATGCTGCATTCCGTGTTGTATATAGGTTACGTTAGTTTCAGTGTGAGATTTCTGGATGTTTAAACAAATCTTAGCTGAATAATCAAATCCAATACTGTATAACCTAACCTATTCACAACATGAAATGGAAAATTTTCACAGGTACAGTATTTTACATATTGCCTGATTTAATAGATTGCCTGTAAAATACAGTATATCAGTATATTCATTCATTGGATTATTAGTTGATGAATAAAGTACAATACCTGTACTGCAGTACCATATAAAATTTTGTCTCCAAATTTTTATATCACAGGTAACTTGATTCAGTATACTGTAGTGATATATATAATGTGCAGAACCTTTTGAGGTTCTTTCTTCCAAAATTCATAGACAATAAAAAGGATCTAAATACTGTACTGATGAACATAATAAAGTATAATGGACCTGAAGAAATTTGTGTCATCTGCTCTATGTTGTTGTCTTTAAAAGTGACTGTCAATGAATCATATTATTTTTCTTTTTTAAATATTTTACTCAATAAAAATCACATGAATTTTCATAAATGTACAATAATAATGATAGACTTTTTTAACTGAAAATAACATTGATACAGTCATTAATTTTGTTTTGGTAGCTACATTGTGTTCATGATAGGTAACTTGAATTTTGCCTCTGTACCACAACACTAAAAAAGGATTAAAACTGCTGGCGTAAGGACCTACTGTAGTGTTGTCATGGACACTTAAAAGGAGTTGCAGTTGCATAATGTCATCTATTTTCATGTCATATTTCATAAGAAAATTATATACTCTACTGTTGGGTAACATTCATCATATTCATGGGGTTCTTTTCTATGAGATCAGTAGAATAACTTGTAGATGTCAAAGTAAATATGTTGACATTATCTTGTGATATAAGGAACTGAACATCAGTTCTACTGTTTTCTTTGCAGTGGCATTATTTTTTCTATGATTTTCAAGTTCCATAGTTACAGTATGAGAGTTTTGTGTGGTAATGTGTGTGTTTATCTTAATTAAACATGTATGATTTGTACATAATAAAATGTAGTGCAAGAGATAGTGAAGAATGTGGATTTTTTTATTCCCTTGGTATTAACTATGTAAGATACTGGAGAGACTGAAACCGAGTCAGGTGGAGGTATAAATAAGATGGGTATGAAACACCAGATAAAGGAAGAAATAGACTGGCTGTCTAAAGAGTATGGTGGAAAGAGGAAAAAAGGACAGTGAGGCTGATATCTGTTACAGTACAGTATTCACTAAGGTGCTAGTGCTATCAACTGCCCTCTTACTCTTCTGAAGCATTTCTTTAGCATTCTCAATCCCTTAGCAGTCTTAGGCTAATCTCAGAGGCCAAGAAGAACTACGGGTATTGTAAATTGCTGCACGTAAGGTGACATCACACCTTTGGAACGTCTTATTAAAGACAGGATACGAATTTGAAAAGACTTGTACCATCTCAAAGCTAACAGAAGAGACAGAGAGTAATCTTCGCCAACACTGCACATCTTGCATTACCAGTCACTGCAATGAGTTAAAAAACAGACTTCCTGATAATTTCAAATTTTGAGGAAAATGTCTCTGGTTTCAGTTGTGGAATCTCTCATAGTTGTGAAGGAACCAATATTAGAGATAGCTGAACTTTTTGGGTACCATCCAAAACAAATTGACAATCAGTGGCGCAATTTAACAAATGTTGAGTGGCACAAGACCACGTCAACAGTAAAATGTTTGGAGTGAGGTATATAATTACAAGGATGCTATAGGAGTAAATCCTCTTTCGTGACCTCTGTGAATAACTATCGATGTACTTTCCCTCCCTCACTCTAATGCTAAGGTCGAGAGAGTATTTAGCCAGCTAAATATTGTTAAATCAAAGCTCAGAAATCGGTTGAATATAAGTTCAGCCAGTGTGATTATTGCCATGAAAAATTGACTCAAAAGAGTTGGAAAATGTTGCCATTCACATGAACTGCCAAAACAAGTGGTAAAGCAAATAGGCACAATGGCAGCATACAGTTCATCGACATCAGAAGCTGATCCAAGCTCTTCATCAGTGCCTGTGTCTATCTATTAGAGACTGAAGAGGTAGAGGACTGCAAATTTTTTTGCTGGATTAAGTGAGGAGTACTTAACAACATTTGCACATTTGCTTATTAATAACATTTGCATATTGTGTAGGCTATGTAAGTAATACAAGTACAGTATTGTGTTTAGTGATTTCAAGTGGATTTTAGAGGCCAATCTAGCTAATTTTCATCACCTACATTTGGCAACATTGTTTGAACGATAGTAAGAAAATTTAAATGACAATGTACAGGTTAGGAAGTTAGGTGAGGTTAAGTAAGGTAAGGTTCCAATAGGGGCTAATTTGTTTTGATGGATCTTTTCTTACAATATTTTCATTGCTGAGTTCTGATATACAGGTATTCAATTCTTGGGCAAATGCTTCATTTGGTAGATAATTAAGCCCCTAGGCTCGCACTACTTCATCTTTCTCGGCAGTGAAATGGCAAGGCAGCCCAATCCATGCTCGATACCACCAAAAAAAAAAAAACCCACCCAGACACCCTAATCTAACCTAACCTGTATCTTAACTCAGCTATATCTGGAAAATTAGCTTTTACACAAGAAAATGAATAGAACTGAAAATAATCAGTAAACAAGCCTGTCTAAAAATGCCATCTGATGGCTATGGTACTTTGTATACATCTGTCTCATCACATTTGCCAAAGAAAAGAATAGAAATGAAAGTAATCAGCATACAAAACTATATCCAAACGCACCCTCCATAATTAACGAACTACTGACGTTCACCAATTGCATAGTATATTAACCAAGATTCCTACTTATCATTATCCCAAAATCTTCCTCACAGCCGGATTTCTTTTTAACATAATTGTTCATCTGGTATCGGGTTTCTCTATTTACGTTTGCTCAAAACACCGGAAAACAAAGTGAAATGGCAGTGCTTTTAAATTAATTTTCTATGATAATTCAGCGACGGGCGTGTCGTCGATAATTACCTTAGTAGATTCTGTGCATTACCTAACCTAACTTAGGCTAGGTTAGGTTAAGTTAGGTTAGGTTAGGTTAGGTTAGGTTAGGCTAGGTTAGGTTAGGTTAGGTTAGGTTAGGTTAAGTTAGGCTAGGTTAGGTTAGATTAGGTTAGGTTAGGCTAGGCTAGGCTAGGCTAGGTTAGGTTAGGTTAATAGAGGCTACAGTGCAAATATCCCAGCAGACCAACTCCAGCTAGGAAGACTGAAGCTGGATACACCCATATCGTCCACTACGACACCGACCCGGTTCGTCACCAAGGCCTCACTTCATTACCAATATCAAATTTCACAAGAATATTAATTACACATGTATATAGACGACTCCAGAAGTATTGTGTTAGTATTATACATGAATATTAATGGTTTAAAAAAACGATTCAAAATTGGCACCAGCGTTTAAAGCGCCCAGCAGTGAGATGATTATAGGCGTATTAACAATATTTTTATTATTTATTTTCTTCTTTAAAATGTCTCAAGTGTTTTTTACTATTTTCTATCCCAAGTAACAGTCATTTTCGTGTATATATTGATGGGAATGAACACGGTTACGAAACGGTTCTCTTTATCAGAGTAAATTATACCACATTTATCATAATCAGCAGAGTCAAAGCGATATGCATCATAATAAAAAGTCTTGTATTAGTTATTTATATAGTTAGTTATGTATATACTTTTTTCTCAGATTAAAACATTACATAATCAGATTCGATATTACTGAAGAATTAAAAGTTTAGCTTTAATAATGACGCAACTCAACCACTCAACCTATCATTGTAAGTACCACGAACAGTCCCGGTAAACTGGATGTTATCCTGTTAAATAGTCAAATGAATGTAAATAAATTAATAAAATGATTTATATGGTTATTTTCAGTAGGTTAAATAAGGTTTTATGTGGCATGACAATTAAACTGTTTAGCCATTATATTCGTGGTAAAATTTGAACACTAAACCAATTTGTCTGGTTGATGACGTTTACGGAACAATTTGGTAGACCTTTAATTAACCTCTATATATGTGTTTAGCGAATATAATGCTTGTTTGTGAATGGAGTTTAAAGTTACAAATTATAAGATTATACTTTTATTTTGAAACTCCCAAAGTGAAAATGGTATAATGTTCCAAAATGAAATATACACCTGTAATATTATATAGGTTTGGTTTAATTTGGTTTTTGCTTTCTATTTTCACAATGGAAACGCTTAACTAAAATGTAAACCTTAACAGTGTCAATATAAGTAAAATATATGTCTTTAAAGCATAAATAAGGAAGTAAAATTGCCTTACTATTTCCCTGTGGATAATATATGCTATAAGGTCATCTACCCTTGTATATTTAAGTTGTCTATATGTATTAATCTATATAAATACCAAACTAACTGTCAATATTTATGACTTTTTACTCAATATTCATTTATATAGATAGTACATTAAAATGCCTCCTGAGGTTTAGTTGGTTTACGGGGTTTAGGGAGAACCACGTAAACACTGTAACTACACCATTGACCACTGACTATGAGACGTTTCTGCCGGGAATTCCTTAACTCTTAATGGTTTGTTTGTCTAGTTATGTTGTAGAGCTTATAAAGATGTGTGTGTGTGTAGGGTTATATGTGACCGTAATCAACGTCTTGTGTGTTTTAGATCAATGGTGATGAGATAGTTGCCTGTGGTATCTTGGTTACAGCCTCCAGTCATGTTATCCTTTTTACTGTGTATGTTATGAGGTGTTTCTCCCATATGTTGATGTTATTTAATTATTTCCAGGTGGCAGATGGTTAAGCTTCGAGAAAGATGTTACGTATAGAGTCGTACATCACACCAATCATCCTGAGCTATGTGGATAAATACATCAAAAATCTCAAACCAGAGGATTCTCAGGTAGGCCAGATCTGAGACTCTGACTCTCCGTGTGTCTGTCTCGTTATATATCTGTAATATTGTGTCAGTCTCTCACCACTGTGATTCAGGTTCACTTCCCACTTGGACAGGGTGTGAGATGAGTGCTGTTCAGTGTTATCACTTTCCTCCTGTGCTAACACTGGACCTGTGGGGGAATGCTTTCACTTGACCTTTAGGGAGAATGTCAGTTATGTAACTTGTGCATCAGTTTACTAATATAATATAATTTTAAGAAATTATATTGTTATTGTTTTCCAGGTGTCGTTATGGGGAGGGGACGCTGTATTTAACAACTTAGATTTGCGTCTGGATGTGCTCGAGCAGGAGCTGCGTCTTCCCTTTTCTTTTGTCAATGGTCACATACACGAGTTGAGGATTCATGTACCATGGACCAAGCTAACATCAGAACCAATTGTTATCACCATTAACACCATTGGTAAGTAAACATAATAAGAATTTACAATGAGACTCAATGAGAAAAATAGTAAAAACCTGTACAGTGTAAATGTTTTATGGTGAACGTGTTACATCCTCATAAGATGTTCAGAGTGTAATGTGTTGAAACATTTTCTCTATGAATATAAAACAGCCCAGAGTTATGTGTAAGAAGAATACCCTAGGCTAATATTTTTTTCAACTTCCGGGTTGAGAAGTTTTTGTCAGCGGGAAAGTTATTGATTGAAGATGGTACTGTATTGTCCCAGCCCTTCTGAACTTTCGATCATTCTCCACACCAGCCACGCTGTGACTTCACTGCATGAAACCATGTGACTAAGGTTAAGTTAGGTTAGACAAGGTTAGGTTAGGTTGTGATTTGCTTTAAAATGGAAAACAGTCTTAGTTCAGTAAAGAACAACGTAAATAAATAAATAAATTCATGATTCTCAGCTCAGAAGTTGAAAAAAATAAACAAATTTTTAGCTTTTCCCCCCAAAAAGGACAAGTGATTTTTTAATCCTGACTCGCACTAAGGATTTTCCACTAGCTATTGGCGAGCAGGCAAGTGAAATTGGGCAGCCCTGGGTTAGTTTATATTTATCAAGTCATTCAATTCTCAGCCATCATGAGAAAAATGGAACAATACTATATGTCTGGTCAATTAGCCGTGGCCTAAAAATAATGAATAAACACGTGTGCATCGCGTTAGATTAAAAAAATAATGAAATTTAATATGTTGATTGAAGACCAAAATCAGAATCTGGCACCACTGAGTGGATGAGTCATGCTGGAGAAGGTCTGTTGCCTGTATAACACTGTCTGCACACTAGGTGGAAAATCATTCACCATACACCAACAACCTTTTAATACAAGCCCTTGATGGTTTGATGGGTTTAGATTCTAAACTTTAGAAAATGTTACCATTTTCATAATATAAAAATAATAAGGGACTCTGCCTCTGTTGAACACCTGCAGCCTTCAACTACCTGCCAGAATTTTCACAAATAATTTACTAGAAACACAACCCACTACAGTATATACATGTACCATTGACTTAAAACCTCAGGAAATGTAATATTATATGACTTACTATTTTCAAGAATACAACTACAGTACTGTGCTGTGCTATGCTGTGTGGGGTGTTACTGCATTGTATCAGGCTTTATATTAATTTTGTCATTACTGTATATCATATTATTGTTTTCAGAATGTATCTTAAAACTAAAGGGAGGGGAAGGTGCCAGCTCAGAGTCATCCAGTCAGAGTGGGTCAGGACCAAAGTCTGCTGATGTGAGACGTAAGCAAAGAAGGTGAGTCACATTATCAGGTGATGCACTATACATACACTCGTGTTCGTCTCCCATCTCTCGTGCCTGATGTAGTACTCGTCTCTCTTTGTGATCTGAACTCCTGCAGTGTTTGATCTATCATGGCATTGTAGGTAAAAATTGGATGACAATTTAGCTGTTCTAAATGGTGGGCGGGCTCAGAGTTGCTCGTGTATTTTTTGGTAGTCCTCAACCAAATTTGTTTATTAGTAAAATAATATTTCTTTTATTTTCAGGCAAGACCTTGAAGTTCCAACTAGTTATGTCCAGGGCCTCATCAACAGAATAATCAACAATGTTTGTATAGTTTGCAACAATGTAATCTTGAAGTACGTAGAGGATGATATTGTCTTGTCCATCAACGTGAAGACTCTTGAGTTTCGTTCTGTCGATGGTAACTGGACTCCAGCTTTTATAGGTAAGTAAAGGACTTTATAATTTAGTTTCACTAATTATGTGACATAGAGAATTTTGTTAAAGGTGTAAGTAGGGGGGAGCTAGGGATCAGGGGGACTGTTTTTTACGTTCTGTAAATCGTATTGATGGTAAATTGACAAATTGGGAGGATCTACAACTACTCTAAATGATGAAATGAATACAGATGTGTTTTGAGATTAACTGAAGTTGAATAAAATATTTTTCTATCCTTGTATAAAATAAGATTATGATCCAGGAAAAAATTAGAACTAACAAAATCCTTATTGGAATTGATCATTATACTGTACAGGACTTATGTGTATTGTACTTAAATCAGTGTTTTATTGACCAAGCTTCCTTCGCTACAATCCTGTCTGTGTGTATCTCTCTCATTGGAACATTATAAGGGTGACAGTTTTATTACATATCTCAGGAGATTTCTTATGTGGATCATTGTGTCATAAATGTGTTGTTATTAGAAAGGTAGGTTTAATTATCTTAGTTTATGTAAGGTTAAGTTTGGTTAGGTTACAGTTAGCTTGGTTTGGTTTGGTTAAGCTAGGAGGGTGAGGACATACTTGCTCAGGTGTGTCTAGTTAAATTGGGTTATTATGGGTTAAGTTAAGATGGATTAGGTTAGATTAAGTTACTGTATTCTGTGTTAGTTTAAGATGGACCAGGTCAGGTTAGAACATAGAAGTAAGTGGTGTGGAAATAAATGATTCTTATAGCTATCCTATAAGCAGGTTTCATTCTGCACTTACCTTACATTCTTGGGCACATAAATTCATACATGTCTAATTTTTTCAGATTTGACAGCAGAGGACCTCATACTGCGCAACCTGGCAACACTCACAGATTTAACCGTTTGCTTGGATAAGAGAAATGCTTCGGGAAAGATTGAAAATTACCAGGTATAGTTAAATATATATGACTGTTGTGTTAGGTATGTCCTGTTTCACCTGATGAGTCGAGATTCTCCGAGATGTTTCTTAACTTTTACTGTACTAGGGTAACTTAATGAGATTCCTTTCCTCCACACATACACTTGATGCTAAAAACAGGTGAGCCAGTTAGAACTTTCATCTCATTGGGCAGGAAGTAGTAACTGATCTTCCCTCCCACACTGTCCTTCCCTTATATCTCTTCTTCTGCGCACTTCTCTTCAGTGTGTGGGAGTGGCCCATGCTGTTAGCTGGGTGTAAAACTGACTGACCACTGTGATGCAGAATGTTAATAGTGTTTGATAGATACAATATTTTACTCAGACCACCCAGTACATGTTAGACTTATAGATGAATCAGTGTCTTTGATAATAATCTCTTACTAATTCATGGAACCTAAATGATATCTTTACTTTGCAGGAACCGCTAATGTACCGGTGCTCGTTGTCATGCAGGGTGGTTCGTCAGTTCGAGACAGTCAACTCTATCCAACCATTGTGTACGCGCTACGATGTGTTCTGCCCACAGCTACACTTCAGTCTTTCAGATATGCAGTTGCCCATGTTTCTGAGGCTTCTGCAGCTTGCTCTGGCACTTTACTATGGAGAGCTTGGGTCACCTACAGATATGGAACAGCCTGTCGGGATGCCAGCGGGGAAAGATGGCGATGGTGGCCTTACAGAAGGTAAATTTATGGTTGAGACACCATATTTTTTGTACAATGTAGTTCGACTCATACTGTGGTGGTCAAATCCTATAGTGTATCTTTATGGGCATGTATTGATGTCATTCTTCTCATACCTCCTATATTAACATCAACAGTTCGTATAACATCCTTATACTAACACCACATACAACTCATTCTCTTGATGTTGTATGATATTATTCGTAATATTTAACCCATTCATGCTTATGCCCAGGAAATTCTGAGCCAGCCACCCCTCCCCCCTCCCCCCAGTTTGCCAAAAAGTTAACACTTTTTTTATTTCCTCAATAGTCATTTTGGATGGGTAAATAATGGAAAAAAACAAATGGTTTATTTACATTTTAAACAGCAGCCAACACTTCACAACATCAAATTTGGTGGGTATCCTGTGAGCATGGAAAATGATGATGGTAATGGTGGTTGATTCACTTGTCTCGTATTTGTTTCAGATTTTTCTATTGAGGAAGGATCGTGGTCATCTTGGGCGTGGTCACTAGGGTCGGCTCTCCTTCCTGTGTACTGGGAGGATGAAGAGAATGCCGTGTCTGCCCATAGGTATAGGCTGAACAAGACGCTGCACATGGGTCTCTATGTTGAAACTGCCACTTGGACTTTCAAGGTACTCTATGAATTTTGTTTATGTTAAATCTTTCAACCACATAATTGATAGCAAGACTTCAGTGTGATGGATCTTCCACTTACTGTACTGTACTTGTACTCTGCAGGCAGCCTGACTTTAGGAAAAAGTGATTGTGTTTACAGTATATTGTATGCATTAAGATTCAGGCAAGGCTGTGTGTCTGCAGCTGCTGAATAATGTCTGTCTGTACTTTATCCTCCTTTTATAGTTAGAGTTGATATTAGGAGGAACAAGTGGGCCTGGGTAGTCTTTCCCAGTATAAAATTTTTCCACTTGTATAACAGAAACTTTATTCAGAAATATTACTACAAATTCAGATTTAGGTGTAAAGTTTATGTACAATAATTCCCATACCTTAATATAGATCAGTAGCAATACAGTACTGTACTGTATATACAGTGTGTATAAGAAATGCTGAACCTTATCATTTATGCAAAGTAATGTAATCAACATACCGTACACTAGTTCATAATCGTCGCGCATATAATTTTTTAGTCTTTTTCTGCCCAATGCAGTAAACACAAAATCTTCCTTCATTTAGTATTGTTCCATCATAATTATTACTGTTGTAAATGTTAGGGTATGTCCCTGCCACAAGAAGACCCTAAATATGTTACTGGTACACACTGGCTTCTATGATGTCTGATCAGTCATGTACAGTCAACCAAAGATGCTCTGACCCCCACCCTGGGTCTCGTACTATTTTACCTGGCAATACTTGGTAAAGTAAGGCTGTATGTAAAGGTGATTGTGATTGGTGGATCTATTTTTGGCTGGCTTTATTTAAGCAAATATATGAACATTTGGAAACTTTTCATGATCTAAAATAATGATGAATAGTTTATTATTTTAAAAATGCTCCCTTTGGTTTGTTTAATAGTTATCTTGACAGTCTACAACCAAAAATAGATCCACCAATCACAATCACCTTTACATACAGCCTTTCTTTACCAAGTATTGCCAGGTAAAATTGCAAGTACAAGACCCAGGGTGGGGTCGGTGCATCTTTGGTTGACTGTACTGTACAGTACACTGCTGCTACCAGGGTGTCAATCCCTTCATTAAATCAGTGCCTTCAAAAAGCTAGATTGCTCAGCACCAGACTGTCTTTCTATGACAATAATTCCTGTCAGTGTGACATAAATGATACACGGTTTTCTTTAAAGAAATTCAAGTGTCCCAGTAAGCTTGACTTTTGTTGATTAGTATTTTTTAGAGTACTGTAGTTTTGTTCATTTGCTCTGACAGTAATTTTTTTAGTTATAGTATAACTTGTGTGACATCAGCAGGTTCATAATATAATTATTATCTATGAAATCTGGTACTGTAAGTGGCATTGAAATACCCAGTACAGGGTATTAAAATATTTTTACAGTTGACTTTTCTTTATCAAATTCATCCATTATGTAAATCAATAAAACTTTCAGTTAACAGAATCTGTGCAAGACAGTGGATATTTTGGACCAACAAAGATGCGCTTCACTCCATTCATGAGAGTAGAACACCAGGGGAGTTTCATGACTGTGGTTGTTCGAGGCCTAGAAGCTGTCAATGTGCAACTTGGAATATCTTCCCTTACTGTTGATCCAGTTGGGAACTGTATTTGTGGTATTGCAGATATACAGGAGGTGAGTGTTGTCTTTGTTTTAACCATGGAGGTAAGTACTGTACAGTATTAAAAAAAATATATGTAAGAGCATACAATGTAATGTACAGCTTGGCTTGAGGAGCAACTTCTTTTGCACAATTCTGAAATACTGACCTTGATCCAAGTATTGTAGGCACTCCACCAGTCAGGACACCTACTTCAGATTCACCCCACACAGGATGGGGACTAGTTTCTCCCAGGAACACTCCTGATGCCTACACATGTTCCTCAATAATATCAAAGTTTAGGTGCCTCTCTCCACGCCTACAATCAGAACACCAGTAAGCTTTTTCCAGTGAATTATATGTTTAGTGAAGAAATCATTGATGTCTTTCATAATACCTTTTGTTTTGTTAATAGTGTTCAGCAACTGACATATATCTCACTAACACATGTACTGTACTGTAATTGTTCACACAGGGACACATCAGTGGACTCATGCATTGCAGGCAATATCTACACCTCCAAACTTTTGTTCACTTCCAAATTCCACACGTTCTCTTATAATTAGCATATGAAACTTAAGGACCAGTGATTGTCTTTTATTTAATTTGCCACATATTACATGAGAGTAAATGAAGAAAAATTGGGCAGTCAGGCAGCTGGCTTGACTGACTGTGTTGGTGGAGATAAGTCTACTTGTCTTAAGTGAGTTAGAGAAGTAAGTTTTATGGTGTTTGTAGGAGAATGATGAAATATTGATTGCTGATTTGTAGTCTCAATAACATTGTGAGTGTTAGAGAATAATGAGGTAGGTTAGTGATATATGTAAGCATATTAGAAGTAAAAAACTACACTTTGGATTTTTCAATCATAAATCAAGTCACAGGATAAAATTTACCTGGTATATTTTTGTAACCCAAGCTTTCATAAGTTTGGGACTGACTGTATCTGTGTTCAGTTCTGACCAAGAGGTTGTGGAAATCTCTCCGTTATGCTTTGCTACATTGATTGCGGGAAACATGTAACGCAATATTTACGTAAAAGTTCAAATTTTTTGCATAATTTTTTTTCTCCTCCGCAGGGTAATGTGTCAGATAGTCAAGATCAGCCTGTGGCAGCCAAAGGAGTCATATCATTCCTTAACATTGGACAGGAGGGCCAAGATTACCTTTCCCAGTCTCTGTTTGATCCTCAGGTGCTAATGGAAGCTCAGGAGTTTTGGGACTATTCTTACTCCTGGGATAAACATATTAAGGACACTACAGGTTGGTAAAGGATCACTTGAGATGTATTTGTGATTCATTATAGATCTCAAACCTGACTTATGAGAATGACTGCATACTAGCAATGCTCTGGTAGTTCCTGTTCAGTACCTGACTGATGTTGATGTTGCACTGTTACCTTATTACAGGTTGAGAGAACAGTAAACAATCATCACCATGTTTTGGGCAGACAAACATAGTGTAAAAAGTCAGCATTGCCATATGATAGTTGTTGCCATGAGTTACACTGTCATCTTGCCAGTGTCACTAAAGGGGATATCATAAACTTAGACCATTATCCTGTGGCAGTGTGTCTTGTATAATTATATTGTATAGTACATTCAGCTTGATCTCAGACCTAAACCAAAACTCAGACCTAAACCAAGACTCAGAGCTAAACCAAAACTCAGACCTAAACCAAGACTCAGAGATAAACCTACATCACTGGTTTCTCCCTGGCCTAATGCTTTACATACATTGGCCAACTCTGAACACTGATTATGATTGTCTGAGGAACTGCTGAGAGAAGTTAGTTAGTGTGGGATGTCATGTTACAAAGAGAAGTTATTTTTCAACCACAACTTACGGGTGAAGTTAGAGGTGATGGTCTGAAATGTTTCTCCGCAACATGTTTCAGAGGCCAACATGTTAGCCAGAACAGGAGCAGTGGCTATGGACTACTTCTACTACATGGAACTTCCAACAGATGTGAGCAGTGAAAAACTTTCTGAAATCAGCACGGATTTAGAATTCAGGTAAAAATTAAACATATGTACTAATGGTTAGGTATTGATATTAGTTGAAGTTATATTACATGAGCCTCTCTTTTATTATCTTTTTTTCTGATATATAATTTTTATTTATTTTTTCTAATATTTCTCTACGGTATGAATTGATCTCAAAAGCCAATATTCCACATTATTTTCCCTTGATTGAGAATATTACTACTATAGTGAGTTAATGTTAATGTCTGCCACCAACAGTAACATGAGTGAACGTGCAATGTGTCGCATAGCATTTGGGGCGTCTGAAGTCAACCTGTCCTCTGGTTTCTATCATCGACTTGAAGCTGTGATACACGCCCTCAACCAGCATGATTATCCACCATACTCTACTCCATCTAACCGTGAGTTTTTTCCCAATATTCCAGAATGATTTTCATATCATCATAGTTAACCTGAAGTAATAAACATTTTCACTGAGAGCTTGTACAAGAGATAACATGTGGCTGACTTGTTGAATGATATAGAACTGACAATACTAACTCTGGTTATCTAAATGCCTGATGTGGTATAGTTTTCTGTGCATGGTATAATGACTTTAGTTGATATTACTAACATTCCCGCACGATAGATTTGCTTAATATCTCAAAACTTCCTTTTTTTTTATTTAACTAGAAGTTAGTTATACAGTATTTAGATGTTGCGATTCATTGTTATTATTTCATTATATTTTCGTTCTGGGGAGCTTTTTTATGACATTTTTGTGATATTTATAGATGTGATAATTTTCTTGTATAATAACTGTTTCTGTGCTTTACCATTCTTTACATTTCCAGGGTTGAGGAATTTTTTGAAGAGTTCCATATCACAGGAAAAATGTGTTACAACTGATCTTGACAAAGAATCTGCCTCAGATGCTGAAAACTCAAAAAACCTTGGCACATTTCTTGAGCTCATGAGAATAAGAGAGAAAGTTAATATTTTTGCAGTAAACTGTAAGTCCCTGAGAATGGAAAGAGCATCATCTTTGTTATTGCTGCAAAGGAGAGTACTACAGTATTTAATGAAGCATGGTGGCAGCAGGGTGTTATCTGAAGCACCATACTACTGTATAGTGTGCTGTTACCAACTTGCTTGGATTTTTGCCAACATGCTTAAATTTTCTTCATGTTGCTTATACACTGCCCAGACATCCCTGCAATTGTTTGTTTTTTCAGTGTACAGTATTAGGTTATTTTTAGAAAGATTGTAGACTTAGCAGACTGTGACTACACATCACTGCTGCTGTTGATGCAGTTTTGAATTTGAAAATAAACTAAATTTTTCAAGACTCAATCCCTCCCCACTCCAAGGAATTTTCAGAGGGCCAAAATGTTTTAAGTATTTCATGGAGAAAATCTTATACTAATAGATATGACAAACATTTTATTATATGTGAAATTTATACTAGATTTTTTTATAAGTTATACCAGGCAATTTTATACGTGTGTATACTTTCTGCTGGATACTGCACTGAGTTTATTTAATATTTTATGATATTGTCAGATTTTATAATAACTATCCTTTATACTGGAGGACTTAGTTAGCATCCGTTAATCAGGACACCAGTTGATGAGTTATTTAGATATTGAGAGCTGGGCAAAGTGTTTGATGGAGTGCCTGGTAAATGAGTGACTCATTTACTGGTCTTCACTTTTACAAGATGATATAAAAAAATCCAAATACAGCACAGTATTGGAATGTTGTTTCAATGTTCACTGGGGATCAATGTTATTGGTCATTTAGAAGCAAAAAGTTAGTAGGGAAATAGAGATGAAGAAGAAATGAGAAAACAGGTCACAGGAAAAAATCTGTTTAGCTGTTGAAACCTTTATGAAAAAGCTGAGTTTGGCCATGATGACAGTGACAGAGTTACAGTAGTGGCAAAAGTCATAACACAGGTAGTGGTTAAAACCTCCTCGTTAAAGATGTTCATGAGAAAGATAACAACAGACCCAGACACAGGACCAGCACTTTCTTGACACTTACCCCCAGACTGTTGCCTCTACACAATTCCAGTATTAAGCTAGGATACCATCCTCATGGTAGCATTAGCGCCAAAAATAGATCATATTGAAATGTACGCGGTTGTTTCCATTGGCACGGTTGCATTAGCAGTAGTGTTATGCATTTGCAGTACATTTCAATTGGTCCCTGTAGCAATTGAAAATGCAACTGCATGGAGACAGACGAGGGAATCCCACACTGTGACATCACCAGTACCTATATCATGCACGTGGTCTCCTCACCCAGCAAAATATTCTTTGAATTTTTCTTCATCCAAGCTTAGCTCTTTTGCCAAAGTATTGTAGGCTCCAAATTTAGACCGATTCAGCAGCAATTTATGCACCCACCATCTGTGTTTCCTTGTCTGTTTTCCCTTTGCATCACGTATGATCTTATACAAAACTAGGATAATTAATAGCAAATCATCCTGTTCATATAAATAGCATTGTAGCTTCGATGCACTGGGAGCCATCTTTCCTGTCCTGTTCCCGCTAGGACAATATGTAACTGCAAATGGAAACAGGGTTTTCCGTTTTCCAAGGCAATTTAATGCAAAAGCATATATGGAATCCTAGCTTTAGTTTCTTATACTCGTATTAGTTCTTAAGAGTCGAGTGGGAGCTAGAAGCAGGTACTGTAAGTGTTTTATTCATGTTTATTTAAGATTTACCTGATAAAGTTAGCACAGTACTGTGTGAAAAGAAAAATACAAGTTGCTGTTTTTGTTGTAATGTAAATTTACTGTAGATTTTGGTAGTACTGTACAGTACAATACAGTAGTATAAAGCTTACTAATGGCATCCATCTGCTCTGCTTTGCACAGCATTCAAGAGTGTGTTTGAAAGTTTGCACCTTTTCTTCTCTCTCTCTCTCTCTCTCTCTTTTTTTTTTTTTTTTTAGAATTTCCATCATTTCAGTGTTAACCCTTTTCCCAATTTTTGCCCCATTCTGTGCAGTGTCCTCCGTATAGTAATTTATTCTACACCCTGTATTTTTGATAGGTGAGCATATTGTGTGTTTGATAAGAAAATAATTTACGTATTTAGTTTGGGGTAAAGTTTGTTGACAGCGGAACCGAACACATCTAGCAGCATAACAGAATGATGGACAGAGAATGAGAAGAGAGTCTGTGTTGATCTTAATTCTGGTCACAAGATAGAGTAAATATAAATACCATACAGTGAAACATCTATTTAACAGACTACTGGGAGAGGAAAGTTCATTATATCTAGGGTCCGTCAGATGTAACCCCCCCCCCCCCCTAACAGATTATATATAGAGAGAAAGCCGTTGGAGGTTTGACTGTAATTTATATTTAGTCAGTAGAAAGACATTAGAGACAGACAGATGATTAGGGTTAGTTTAGGGAGAAGATCAGGATAAAGTTGGGAGGTAGAGAATGGAAATTATTGCGATGATATATTATTAAAGGGGTAATGCAGTGTGGGGGGGGGTGTATAGTGACTACAGTGTATGGCTGAATGTGTATAGTGGTTACAGTGTGTGGGGGGAGTTGTATAGTGGTCACAGTGTGTAGGGGGATGTGTATAGTGTGTGTGATACCAGAAAAAGTAGTTAGTTTGAGGCTAAAATTGACAACCCTCTGCTGTCATTGGGGCTTATGTTCGGTTAATTTGGGTTAGATTAGGTCAGGGTAGGGTAGGTTAGTTAGGTTAGGGTAGGTTCACTTGGGTTAGTAGGGGTAGGTTAAGTTAAGTTCAATTAGTTTAGGTTAGCTGGGGTGTCTAATCTTCAGGTACAGTGATTCCTCTTGTGCAATTACATTTGAAGACATAATTAAGAGTTACTGTTTCTCCACATCAACATGTTTCACTACAGATGAACCCCCAACAAACCTAGTGGGTCCTACTGAGGATGAGGTGGCTTCCCTGGAGGCCAACACTCCCATTCGCTCCTACATTGTGACAGTGATGGAGCCCACGGTAGTCGTGCACGCTGCCCAGCACATGCACATTAACATGAAAACCGTCTTCAGTGCTAAGCGTAGAAAGGTAGATTATAACATTTTGTGACGAAGTTGTTTATGTGTAGGTCTACTTTTTTACTATATGTACCGGGTGTTTCATAAGCCACAGACCATAGGAAAATTAAGGATTTTTTCCCTTTTTTTTTTCTTTATTGGGTGAGGGAATCATTAGTCTTTGTGAGTTAGGCAATGAGGGTCACTCGAATGGCCACCAAGGTCTGCAGATATTGCTTGATCTCTTTGAAGTCTCTGTGGTCACCTAAGGAAGAAATCAAGAGGCATGAGGTCCAGTCCAAGACTCAGTGGCCATTCAATTGATCCTTGTTGCCTAATCCACAATGATTGGTTATGATTCCCACACCTGAAAAAGAAACAAAAAACATGATATCGATTTTCCTAAGGTGTGTGACCTATGACACATCCTGTACAGTTGCTCCCAAAATTACCATGAGACATTTTGATATTTTGTATGAACTGGTGAATGCTGCTTTTTAATATCTCAGAATAACAGCATGAGAACAAATATATGTTAAAACCATAATCCTCTTTACCTACATGACCCTCAAGTAGGTGTCATATGTTACTAAAAGTGTCCATGAAATTCTTTCTGCTTCTCTGCTGGTTATATTCTCGAGCCCTGTTTACAAGTCAATATGTTTGTAACTCGGAACTATTATTAATTTCACAATAAAGTATGAATAACACCCACCCCTACCTGTAAAGATCATAACAATTATAACCCATAGATAACAAGTACTGTAAATAACGCATGTAATTAATGTATAAAAAAAAAACACTTAATCATCTTGACCTGTGAAGATTAGCCACCCTAAAGCTACCTGGGGGTTTGGGTTAGGTTGAGGGCATTTTATATATACAGTACAGTAATGAGATCACATTCATATGTACAGGTGTTCATATATGACACAGGCCAGGTTATTCAGGTTATGCAAGACAACCAGTAGACATACCGGCACTGTAGAATACTGTACCACATCACCTATAATCATGTGCCAGCCAATCTGTTTTTGAATGCTATACATTTTGGACATAGATATATATTTTTATTAATAGAAGTAATTTATTAGGGTGTCATATTATTACAGAGGAGATAACAAAATAGGGCTTTTTAAGAGTACAATAACAATTGTTGATGAAGTTGACAGGCTGTACTGATGCTGTATTAGATACTGTTTGTAGGTGGCCAGTTATAAGCTGTAGTAATTATGTGTCATCAGTATAGGTGGTTATAATACACTGGTTGTTGTTTTGTATATTCTGGAATATTTATTATTTTTCATTTTCTTTTTTCAGAAAAATCAGAAAGCAAGTGCTGAATTATGTATGGCTCGTGTCCTGCCAGTTCCTAGTGTGCGGGTGAAGCTTTCCCGTCTAGATGTGGAGTGGACCAAGCCCATGTACCCTAAAAGACTCGTATCTTCAGCATGTATGCTGCGACCGCCTTCTCCAACTATGCTGCACAACTGCCATTCTCATTTAACTTTCACTGTAAGTTTTAATAAGACATCTTTTGATATTGCTCTATATGAGGAAACAAAATTTTCAGATCTTAGATGTATTTATTTATTTATTTTTTAATCTTTTTTATATACAAAATACTTTCATTAATCTCTTAACTTCTTGTATTCCACAGGCCCACAATTTGTGCCTCGGTCTACAGTATCTGAACAACATGGTGCCACTTATACAGGGCTTCTCGCCTTCCCTCTACTGTAAGAGTCTCCTGTTGCCTCTGTATTGGGCATCACCACATCAACCCAGGGACGAGTACTTCTTCCAAGCTGGTAATACCTGTACAGTACTACCTTAATGTGTGTTATACTTAGTTATGAGAAGGAGAATCATGCAGTGCTAAGTTCTGTTTTGAATCTACATTTTCATTTGTTGTGATAAAGAAATATGAACAGCAACACCAAAAACAGCCATTAAAGGATTAACACCTTGGTGTATGATTGTACTATAGTGTTAACTTCTGCTCACATTGTAAGAAATAACATAGAGTATATTTAATTCCACTAAAGGTTGTAAGAGGAAGAAGAAAGGGTAATTACCGTACAGCATTAAACATCTGGACACTAACACTTATGGCAACAGTAAAAGGAACTGAGATCAGAATTAATGCTAGATAAATAAAAATAACTCTGTAGAGAATTTAAGAGAAAATTACCTGTTAGTGTAGAAAAATCAATAACATGTGTAGTGCATATTGAATGTGTCTGTCACACATATATATATATATATATATATATATATATATATATATATATATATATATATATATATATATATATATATATATATATATATATATATATATATATATATATATATATATATATATATATATATATATATATATATATATATATATATATATATATCTTGATAAAATCACACGGAAAATGGAAACAACGAGTACCTTAGCTTTCGTCTTTATTCAAGACATCTTCAGAGGCAACTAGATTACATGGACAGAGAGAGGCTTAAATATACAGGGTGACCTAAAAACATGAGGTCAGGTCATAATGATGACATCCACTAATCCCCACACATATATATATATATATATATATATATATATATATATATATATATATATATATATATATATATATATATATATATATATATATATATATATATATATATATATATATATATATATATATATATATATATATATATATATATATATATATATATATATATATATATATATATATATATCTTGACCCTTTTTTTTTTAGTATTCTTCCACATATACACACTGTTCTAGCTATAATATTTTCGAGGTTATCAAGTTTTAAAATGGCTTCGATGATTTATGGACACCTTGTACAGTATCTTGTTATTGTATAAATACTTCATAGTGAAACTCCTACATTATTTCTAGAGCCACCTTATTATTATCTTAGGCTTTGATCTCTTACTGCAATGGTGTTTTATCTCCCACTAGATTCTGTGAATGCAGAAACAAGTGCCCCACAACTACTGCTCTTGTACTGGTTGGTCACCTCTTGGTTTGATCCTTGTCCTCAGCCTGAGCTGCTCCACCAGGACTCCCTTATTGATGATGCTCTCTCTGCCAGGAGTAAGTTGTTGTTCTGTTCAGCCTTTTTTTAGTTAATACTGTATATTAATGGTCATATAGTTTTATTAGTTACACTTGATAGATGTTAGTACTACTCTATTTAAGAAAGAGTTAAACTTAATCTTCTATTTTTTTTCCTTTAACAGGATTACCAGTACTGGCAGTGAAGGTCCACCATGTGGAAGCCAAATCTTGTGATACACCATCCCTTCGAGGCAGCATGGCAACTGTTGGGGGCATAACAGTTAGCTTACGGAAGCCTCAAGGTGACCTCCTGTGTCTCCTCCTTTCTGGCCCGGAGGACAAAACAGGTTTAGAGGTCCTGATTCCTGAGACATTGTCAGTGTCTGATAAGTTGATCAAGGCTGCTCTTCAGTTCCCAAAGGATGACTGTGATGAAAGTGTGCCCAGCATCCTCACTATAGGCATGAAGAAAGTGGCAGTATTGTTTGATCCTCAGCTCATTCAGTGGCTCAAGTACTCCCCAAGAAGAATTAATTCTGAAACTCTTACTGAAATGGTGTTCTTGAAAAAGATATCTGAAGTTCGTGGAATAGTCAACCCCCAAAGAAAACCTTCAGAAAGTGAATCTGAAGCGACAAAGGTCGAATCGTCAACTGCCACACTGTCCGAGGCCAAGACGGGAAGTCGAAGTAAGCTTTATTCAACTCAGGAACCTCCGGTAGAAAATTCTAAAACCTGGAAAGAAAATTTTGTAGCTTGGTATCCGATTCTCAGTAGACTGCTGATCCACGTTGACCTAGACACAGCCACCATCTTTCTGTCTTCGTCACAACTGAATATTGCTTCAGAATCGGGGCTGGTGAATGCTGTCCACCGCACATATTTAACAAGAAGTGAGAGAGCGACCCTGGGTGACACTCTCGTCCTGTGCCTTCCTCATCTTGTACTGCACAATGCTGCACAGAAACAGAGTCTATTGCACAATGTTCATGATGTTCCTGTCATCTTGCCTGGGGAAATTTGGGCTACAGGTACAGTTTATTCACCTTTCACCACTGTTGTTGGGGTTAGCTTGTTTATGGGGTCATTGATTAATCTTGATATAATTAACAGAGTTTGACCAAGACTCAAGAATAGAAGAATTGTTAGCAATATATTTCTCAGTAAGATGGCCTGTATTTTATAATTTCTTCCCAGCATTAATATGATGACCTCATTCAGAGATACGTCACAGGTTCTCTGCCTCCAACAAACTGATTTTAGGCACTGCAGTTTAGATTAGTTTTATTAATTAAAATTTTCATGCAAATTACTTTCAATTCATGATCACTATTCTGTTAATGGCATAATACCGACGTCCCTCAAAGGTTTCATTCCAGAAAACCATTAGTAAATCGAGTAATACCAGTACTGTGCTTAACTCTTATACCCGTCCATCATTTCCCACACTAAGAGCGCGACAAATTGCCGTGGTCTCTGAATTTGGGGAGTTTCAGCATATACAGTCTGCAGGGGACGGGACAACACGTTAAGCTGCCGGTACTCAAGCCTGTCAACACCACCGCTACTCTGGCCATCACCACCAAGTACCAGGTAAACGTGATACTGTACCAGGTTATCCACTTTAGCTTTGCTGAAACTTACCATGACCAGTTTAACTTTTGTCCTGTTATGACATGATTTTATACAGTTTGTGACATGATTTATACAGTGACCTATGTTATGAAACACCCTGTACAGTATGGTGGGTGACCTATGTAACACCCTGTACAGGAATAGGCATTACAACCAAGAGAGCCATAATAACTTAGCAATAACAGAATGGAAAATATAAGTGTTATTATTATCATTACTGTATATATTATATGCCTTAAGTAGCACATCATTAATTACCTCCACAGGGTCCCTCTCTCAACCAATTGGGCCTGGTGATACACACGGACATGTCGCCTCTAGATTTTTGTGGTAGCCGTTGTCAAGTTGTTGGCCATGTGACCATTGTGGAAAATATACTTGGGCTGTTATCACATTTTATAAAGATGCCATCTGAATCTGTAAGTTGTATCTGTGAGTTTTTTATCATCAATATGAGGTTTTGAAGCAAATAATGAAGAAATATATGGTTGTTTCTAGGAATACTGTGTACAGGTATTCTTGTTATAAGCATAGGAAGTTCTCTGTTATAAAAAGCATGTTTGATAATACTTATGGTAGTAAGAAAGTTAGATTTTGGATGGGATGACATTTGAGTAACCTGTGACCTTTCATTACCCTTATAGAATTACATGAATAATTGAAATGTCTGGTAACAGAAATAAAGAAATAATGTGTTCTAATACTGTATTACTTTTTTCGTTGTCGTGCAGCCACGGTCAATGTCTTCCACGCCAGCACCACAACAACCAATATTAGAAGCTTCTTCGCAGCCCACCACACAACCACCTCCTCATCAACACACGCCACCGCCTCCTCAATCAAATCCACATCAGACGATGCCTCCCAAGCCATTACATCACAGTGGCTCGGACCCTAATACTCTGCTGGTGACTGAGGGGGAGGATGTGGAGGAAGAGAGAGGTACATCTTGGTGCTGTCTGCTACTTTACTTTGAATTATATCTGATGTCATTCCCTACTACTCAGCACTGGTGGTTTTAAATATACAGTACATGGAATAAAGAAAATAAAGATGTTATCTATCCCAGAGGTGTTTATAATGCCAGTCACTACTTGGGAGTGGCCCAACCTCTGCTGGAAAAGGTGTTTTCTCTGTAAATACCACCTGCTTTATTCTTTAACAGGAACACAGGAAGACACAAAATGGCACAAGCTGCTAGGGTTTTACCTTACAATATTCAAATTAATCATAATGATGTGCATTAGCTTCATACTAGTACCTGTATAAATATCTTACAATTGTCAGTGACTTAGTAACTTTAATCAAACACCTTCATATTGTGTACTGTATCAGTACAGTATACCTGATCCTATACCTTGGTGGAAACAAGTACCTTACCAGTCGTTTACATGTACAGTGCTGTACTAAATTTGACATTAATGATGTAGACCAACATGACAATACTGTATATGTTTACAGTTCAGGTTGTGAGTGAAGCGGAGGCTCAGTGCTGCAGCGGGCCAATAGTCACTGCCTGGGTTCAGTGGACTGTAGCACGAGTGTCGGCTTCTCTTTATGCCAAAGATGGAAATGAGTTGAGAAAGTTGAGGGCAGAGATGGAGGACCTGACGACTGCCCTTGACCTCCACCAAGTGTATTCAAAAGTTAAACTAAAGGTTACTGCAATCAGCATATTGCACTTTACTAAAAGGTAATAAGATAATCTCTCTGACTGAGATGTTTCTTGTGCTGTCTCTCTCTCTTTTTAGTATTACTGTAGGATTGACTGATACTATACTATCACCATAAAGAAGTTCTAATAATATGTTGTTATACTGTTATCACATGCAGTAGTTGTTTATAAAAGGAAATCCTATTAAGAGAATACAGTACACCTGGTTGTGGCCAAACTTGTTATAATATGTTAAAATAATAACATTACAGGTACTGTGATACAAAGAAGATATGTGTTAAATATCCTGTAAATGCCAGACTTCCCTTACCCTCCCTTAGTGTTTTTTGTAGATTAATTTTTAGGTTTTATTATGTGTTACAGAAACAATGCTTGGGTAGCTGGAGAGCATGAAGGTGTTGTCATGACCTGTGGTGACCAGGTGACTCATGAGCTCAAGGTCATTAATCCTCGCAGTGGGACCGTTGACCCGCACTATCACTGTGAAAAGGTCAACAGCAGTCCAGCTGAACAACCCAAGGCACATGGTTTTATTTCACTTACATTTACAACAGCATTATGCAAGAACATCCATTCTTGTTGGAACAATCTTATTAAGAAGCATCTTAATGAAGAGAGGTAATAATGAGTTTGTTTCTATAATTAGTACAGTACAGTATATCGTTAAGGGGATAGTGAATCAATGGTGTGGCTCCCTACAGAGTACTGTACTGTATATCAGTAATTGGATAAGGATTGTTCTGATAGCTGTGGCATTATTAAGATGCTGACTGATAATTTTTAATATATTTAGGCATACATCTGTGTGTTTCAGGTCTATGCTAATGGATAATGCAGCTGACCACTACTTGAGCGAAGTAGATATCCGCGTCCAGCCTTTTGACTGTGTGTGCTATCCAGCATCACTACAGATTTTTGCCACAGTGTATGAACCTTGGTTACAGCTGCAGGTTCCTAAACAACTGTTGAACACCGGCAGAATTGTTTCTAAAGAACCGATAGGGATGGGCATCAACAATCACACACTCCCTCTGGTGTACCTCCACACTGAAAATATCCGTCTCCTCTTTCCTGCGAGAGACACCACCAGTGAAGACACCTCAGTCCACAACATGTTCTTAGTACAACTAGACTCAATAGTAATTACGCCACAGGTGGATAATCCTCTCTCTCGCATCATGATCCGACCAGACATCTTCCACATGGCAGAGCGTGCGAGGATTTTAGGTGTTCCCGGCTCAGAAGTTGAGGACCGGCAGTATCAGATTGATCTACTGGGCTTCAGTGCTAGTACAGGTAAGTTCTGTGATTTTCTGATACAGTACAATAATACTCAGTGTTGGTACAAGGGAGGAAGAACTTAATTTATAAAGATTGCACATATTGGATGTCTGTGCCTATTATGTATCAACTGTCAATAAAAGTACAGCATGAATTTTGTATATCCCTTAGAGTGTATGCTTTAACCTCTTCATAAATGGTGATGGTTAAACTTGTTGCTTTTGAATTATGATCCTTTAAGTTTTAAAAACTGTTTGTTAACTTAGCTGAAAGGGAATACTGTACTGTATAGTGTTATTGTGACTGCTCTTATTGAAACTGGTAATATGAAAACTTATTCATAAATAATCCTATACAGTATATTATTAATCTTTTCATCCTTGGTTTAGGATCCTGGTATGATTTAGTTGGAGTGAAGGGAGGACGTCCTCGTAGCTCTTCCGGTGAACGACTGCGTGCGATGGGAGAGAACCCAGCCCTAGAGTGGAACAACTATGACCCCACTCAAGACAATAAGAATACTGATATTGTCCTTCATCCGTTTCTGGCCAGGTTGGTGACCACTACAGTAATAGTGATTCATCATTTGTTCAGTGTTGTTTGTGTATTCAATGTTAATGTATTTTTAAGACCTTCTATCTCTTCTTTGATGGTTTGGAAAAAAGCTTCCTCTGATAAATGTAAGAATGCAAGATGTAAACATTTGTTGGACTTGGTGAGTCATAGTGTAAAAGTAATGTTTATGAATTTGTATTAAATTTTTCTTAGTAATAATACTAATATGGGACATAGATCAAGATGTAGGGATACATTGGAACATGGGAAGCTTGGTAAAACCTGGTGAAGAATGGAGATAAAGGTACAGTAAGATGTGGTAGAAGACACAAAGGTATGAGGAGGGATCAAGGGAGGTCTCTTCATTCCCCCACCTGCCTCAAACATTATATGCATTTAGTAACAGTTGTTGTATCTTCAGGTTTTTTTTATTCTGCTGATGTCTGAGTATGTTCACTTTGTTCCTGGAATTAGATCTTTGTTTTCTTGGTAACAAAAGCTATAAAAAAATTTATTTCTAAGCACAACTGTTTTCACTCAGTCACTGTGTTTTGTTGTTTTGTTCTGTTAATTGATTGATTTACAATATATAAATAATGAACTCCTATGAATATAGTTTCTTCAAATCCTCTGTGAGTCTTCCTCTTAATCACTGAACAAAAATCTTATTCTCTGTTGTGTATTATTTCCTCGGTTGTGTTGACATGTAATGCATGATTATAGAAACTTGATAAAACAAGGTTAATTATTTCCTCGGCTCAAAGCTTGCAATGTTTCCATAGATTTGACAGTCGAGTGATAGCAGCCCCGGCGATTGTTTACTGTGGTAGTGTGGACGAGGATGGAGTACCCCGTAACACCTTAGTGGCCGGACACTCTCTGGAGATCAACGCCACTTCAGACATTGACCTTCATGTTAGTCTGCCTCAGATAACTCTACTTAAAGATATTGTTGAGGACACTACCAGGTGAGAATTGTTTAGGGAAATGAATCCAGGTTTGAATGTCTGGACTCACGTATGTCTTTTTGGAACTGGAATGATACATAGATAAATATTAAGTAAGTATGATAAGTAAGATCGTGGGAACTTTGATTTTAATGAGAAAAATTTAAATGTAAGATGTTAATATATTAATGGTAAGTAGTTTAGAAGATCTATTTGATATGGATTTACACAAGTGCCCCAACATTTGCTGTCATGAACTTGTGCTATCATTTTGTTTATCATTTAACCTTGATTACTGCCTCTAAGCATAAGATGAGTAGAGGTATCTCGGGGTCTTGTTGTGGCAGGAGAACACCAGAGCACAACAGATGCCTTACAGCAGTTAGTTATAATGAATGCCATAAAAGGGAGGGAGAGTGTATTTGCGCTTGAATATGGCCTCTCAGGAGGCAGCAGGATAGGGCTTGTGAGAATGAACAGGACAGAACTGGGATTAACGAACTGTCTTTTTGTCATTGGACCTCACAACCTTAGTTTCTCTATAGACCTCCAATGTTTTACTTGCAGACTAATTACTCAGATGCTTTCAAGTGGACGCCAGGGAAGAACTGCTCACACACCATTAGATATACCAGACAGTGGGGTGGATTGTGATATTTCCTCGGTGGAACTATCAAAGGGCATGACGAGCCAGAGGACTACGGGGAGCAACAACGCCTGGTCATTTGTGCCACTAGAACTGCTGGTCACTGGAGGCAAGATCACTGCCAGCATCTTCGACCGAGGGATCTTAGAAGACGGCCAGAAGTTCAGTGTCAAGGTAAGGTTTTTGGATTGTGTTGGGAAAAGTTAAAAAAGATGTATTATTACTAGAATATTAACTGCAAAATCATGTCTGTGAATATAGTTTCTATATTAATGCCATAATTAAGGAAGTTGCTTGATTGAGTGACTCATAGACAAGACCCATTTAAGTGCTGTAGGAACAAATGGTATTCTTATTTGTTGCAGAATAGGCAGATTACCTAAAGATTAGCCCCCAGCTTATTTCATTGGATGATCAAACACCCTCATGATACCTAGTGGGGAGGGGGTAGGAGGTTTGGCTTCATAAGGGTAGTGTTAGGTTGGTATTAGGTTAGGTTAGCTGGGGCTGATCTTCAAGTATTCTGAATAGTCAAATCTATATACAACAAATATGGTACCATTATATTTATTTTCTCCCACAGTGAAAATATCCTCAGTTACCACACCTCTCTTCAATCTTCCATAAATTACATCAGTTTTGCACAGGCCATGAAATTTAGCCTAAGATAAGTGCTTATTGAAACACACTTTCTCAACATGTCAATTAATACTATATAGTGGTTTGTCTAGGGATGGCAGCGTAGTAAACTAGAACAGCGGGCTAAGAAGAGGGAACGTGAGCTAGTGGCTGAGGCTGCATCAACGGAATCTGAACCATCACCGAAGAGACTGTCTCATCACCGCCAGAGACCTTCAGCCAGAGATGCTGACTCAAACTCTCACTCAGAGAAGGAGGTCGAGGATGGGTGAGTCACAATACTCGTCCTTCTGTTCACTTACCTGAATGTGATTTGAAGTTGTATAATGTAAAATAACATGAAGAAACTTTTTTTCATTATAACAATATCTCTGAAACCTATTTTGTAGATATGAAGGATCAGAGGAAGGCTCAGTGTGTGAAGGTGGAGGTGTGAATCTAAGGCAGCCGAGGATTTCACCATTATTGTTTGTTGTGGTGTCTCAGCCCCATGCGTTCCTGTCCTGCCAACCACTCAAACAAAAACTGGACATTTCCTGTTTCAATTTTATCCTTCGTAGTGTTCTTAAGGGGTTCTCTGTCAAGGGTAAGTTATTCACTTGAGTATTTTGCTGTCAAGAATCAGCTATTTTTCCTTTTATATTAATACTACTGACTTTGTAATTTCCAGTAATACCAGTTATGATATAAGAACTATTTGATGGATTTTTTTTTTTTTTTTTTATCATTACAGCAACTGAGGCAAAACAACTGCCCTGTCCAGAAGATTATACAACATCTTGGTTGGAAACAAAACCTGGTGATCCGCACCCCAAGACTGGTATCCCTCCAGCTTTACTGGTGATCTCAGCCTCAGATTTCCTTCACAGACCAGGTAAGTCCAGAAAACATCTTGTGACATCTAGAGAAATCTTGCATGAAGTAATCTCGCCAGATGTAAGAGTAGGCCGAAGAGCTTTAACTTACCTTGCAGTAAGGCTCGTTTCAGTATCCAATATCATCCCAGCTTTCTGATGGTGAATTGATAGATAAGCTTTAATAATTTGCCTGAAAATACTGTACATGTGCTCATAAATGCTTTAAATATAAACTTAGAAATTTATTTAACAGTAAAATCTTGTATTAGTTAAAACTCATATTAAAACACGTGCGTTTTTCCCCACAGCTCGAATAAATGTAGAAGTTGGAAGGCCTGTTCGCCTGTATTTGAGTGAGAGCCGCTGGCAGCAAGTAATTCACGTTATGAGTTGTTTGTCAAAAGTTTTGCCCTCCATGACACATGTGTCAGAAAGAGACGGAACCAAAGACGATGTTGATAAGGAGAGCAACACTAAGGAAGTTTCCTCACCCGAGTTATTGAGACAGACGTTGGCAAATCTTGATGGCATATCATTTGTTACTAATCAAGTTGTTATTAACTGTGAAGTATTAAAAGCCCATAAAGCAAAAAGTGAAGTGCATAGTAGTGTCTCGGGAATAAAATTTTGTGTGTCTACATCACGAAAACGATCAAATCAGTTGCAAGATGCAAGGTTGGATATTATCTCAGAAATTACTGCTACTGCAGACATTTTTGATCTCCAGTTAAAAACAATTTATCATTCCCAAAAACTTCAGTCTTTCCTAAAACCTTGGACAGTGTCGGGGGAACTGAAGTTGTTGTGGCTACAGTGGAGTTTACAGCCATATTTAGAGATTAAGGTTGATACTGAGACCTTGACTGTGGATGTTGGACCTGAACATTTATTTTGTTTTATGGACATGTACAACCACATATCTTCATTTTTATATGAGTCAACAGAACAGGGTCCACCACCCAGCTCCTCCAGACCCAAAGAGAAGGAAGAACACCATCATGACATCCTGTATCAGGATGATTTACGTGCTGGAATATTTCAGTATATTAGTCTGGCTCTAGAAGACCCTAAGCCATATCAGGTTGTTTTTGATAAAATGGCAGGAACTATGGTGTGGTGCTACCCAGAGCCAAGAACATTAACCAGAGTTGACATCTATCCTGTCCCCTTCATTGCTGCCTCAGAGTACAGCACAGTGACTGACTCTCAGGATAAAGATCAAGTCATGTGTGCTCTTCAGTATTTTGATTCGCTACGGGAAACTTTCATAACTTACCGTCAGTTCCAACTTTCCGAGTCAAAATTCTGTCAACTTGATCTACCAAGTTTTTATGAAAAGCAACATATTGCTGTATCCTCCATGTGGAGAGTCTGCATTGATTTCTGTGAGGATGAAAGCAGCTCAGGTGATGGCAGGATAGTTGTGTCTCCTGGAGCCTTGGCTGCTTGTATGAGAGTTGACTCCATGTTCTCGGTAGATTTACTTCCCCGGACACAAGCAGTCGTGACCATTGGCCAGGCACAAGTTACCTTGCTGAATCATCTATCACTTACAGGGAAGAAACTGCCCAAAGAGTTGAAATTCTTTACTTTAGACAAATTAGCACCAGAAGAGCAACCATTTCTTACCTTCACTTTAGAAAATGCATTTCTTCGCAACTACGTGTGGTCCTCTGCTATGCACATGCAGACTGGTGGGTCAGGGCGTCTGGATGTTCTGAGTTATAGTTTCTTGACCAGTAGTTGTCTACTTGAGCCAACTTTCTTAGAGGCAAGTTTAGTGAGACAAGAAGCTGATGGGCCAGACAAGCCAAGTTGTGTTGACTGCATCATGACAGTGAAGCCAATGTTTGTACATGTTAATCAATCCATCATTCACACACTCAATGTTGCCTATGAGTGCTGGCAGCAAGTGTGTAATACAGTGACAGATAGTTCCTCTGGTCCTAATTTAGCTCTTATAAAAAAATCACCTGTAATATTTATGACAAATTATTTAATATGTAATGACACATTAGAAACTATCAGATTTGGACAAGTAGGCACTGATGAGAATGTACTGTTGGCATCCCGAAGTATACACTTATACTGCTGGAGGAGTCACAAGCTTCCTCCTCAGCTGCAGGCATGTGTGGAAGGTGGCAAGTGGAAATGGTGTGACCCTTTCACACTAGAAGCTGAGGGCTCCCAGGTAAGGTTGACTAAATTTTTGGCATACTTTATAACTACTACAGGTATATTTGGAAATAAATATACAGGAAGTCGTTGTCTATTGCAAATTTGAATATCAGTTTTGATATATCACAATTTGATGTTTATGATGAAAAATGTTTTATTTTTGCTTTGTGTTCCTTTTTCTTTTGTCTTTGCCATTTAATCGTATGAAAAATGTAAAACTGCACACAACCACGAGAAGGGAAATACACACACACACACACACACACACACACACATCTCTCAATGAGTCACTTACGACCATAACTTATATAGGTATACAGTACAGTATATACGGGGTATATTTTTTTTTAAAGTATTCTTTTATTTATTACAGTACATGATTATTGTGTTAACGTTGTGAGAGTGATAAATGTCAGTGTAGATGGTAGTGGTGGCAGTTGGCTTGGGTGGTTACTTGATAAACACTCCTCTCAATTGTATTTTATATTGTAATTTATTTTGTATACAGTACAGTAAGTCCTTGCTTAACGTCGGGGTTACATTCATGAAATTGCGACGTTATACGAAACAACGTTAAGCGGATCAGTTTCCCCATAAGAAATACTGTAGATAAAATACGGGAGTTACGTTCCTGAGCCTCCCTTTGCCCCATGAAATAAATTGCATATACAGAAATTCAATGGCATTTTTATAGAAAATAGTATATATATATATATATATATATATATATATATATATATATATATATATATATATATATATATATATATATATATATATATATATATATATATATATATATATATATATATATATATATATATATATATATATATATATATATATATATATATATATATATATATATATATATATATATATATAAACTAAATCATTTTGTATTGTACTCAATGATGGATGGAGTTGGTGGAGCGAATGGGTAGTGGGTAGTGGAGCGGAGGAGGAGGAGGATGACGAGTCACTGAGACCTGGCGGGTGGCTCCTCCTCCCGGTTTAAGACCTCCATTTTTGTAGCAAGGCTAATGATCTTACATTGCTTCTTCACAACACTAGCATCAGTAGCACTTGATGGGCGCTTGGAAGCCATTTCAAATTGTTACGGTACAGTATTAAGAGCAAAAACACTTAAACACTCACAAACACTGTGGAAGCCTAACAGAGACCGGCTTGGCGTTGCTTGGGGACGCTGTGACGTTCCGCGAGTGAGAGATAGTGCGCCGAGAGGGGGTGATGCGCCATAAAAAGTAGTCCATGACGATGCAAAATGACATTATACTGAGTCATCGGGACATTAAGCGAATTTTTGGTATCTAAAGATTAGCGACGTAGTACCGAAACAAAGTTAAGTGGGCCGACGTTATACGAGGTCTTACTGTACTGTACTGTACTTTATTGATGAGTATTTTTATGTTTCCTGAACATTTTTTATTATAAATAAGTAATACTGTACAGCACATAAGGATTATCGACTTGTTTGTGTCACAGGTACACACGATTCATCACGAGAATCGTCATTTCCACTTTCTGGTGATCATCGAGACTCTCTCACCCACCCAGAAGCTCATCACCTTTTCTGGCCTCCTTTCAATTGCAAATTGTCTCAGTGAAGATTTAGAGTTTCGTGTTATAGAGGCCAACAAAGAGAAGGAATCTCCAAAGCATTTAGCAACCCATATGTTGCGCAGCAAGTATGTGGCTCCATCATACGTTGGAGACGCCCACGGTGTAAGAGTGAGACTAATGGGGAATCCGTCTGTTTGGTCTGGGGAAATTCCACTGTCACATGACCGAAGTAAAGAGTCATTGCTTGTAAAAATTCCGTTGAAAGTCAAAGGTGAGAGCATCATCTCGTGGTGTCGTGTACTGAGACAAAGAGTTGGAGCAGTGTGGAGGTTACTGGTGATCTTCAGCCCCCAGTATATGGTCAGGTCACATCTACCAAGACCTCTCATTCTTCATATCAACACACCCAGTAGTCACAGTTGTCAGCAGGTAAGATTTATAAATTTTATTTGTTATTGCAAATAAATCTGACTGAAATGAAAAATAATTACAATATATTAATTTATGTTTTTCAGAATTACTATTTTTCAATATATATATATATATATATATATATATATATATATATATATATATATATATATATATATATATATATATATATATATATATATATATATATATATATATATATATATATATATATATATTAAGATTAATAGATTAAAGGCAGTGTATTCTTAGGCCATGTACAATATATTATCTATATTTAAGTCAGTTAAAAATAGAGGAACCAATACAGTAGACCCTCAGTGTAACATGAGAGTGGGACTGAGAACTCGCACTAGTGTGTATGTTGAGGGCCTACTGTAATCTTGCTTTTACAATATGACTCTCCGTTAAGTTACAGAGCTACATGATGGAAAAACTGGTCTTGTAAATGGGGTAGAAAAGAGAGAGGATGATGAACTGGATTTTGTTGTCACACTGAACCTGGAATTAGTGGTAGAGTAAAGTGAAGATGGACTGTGTGACCTGAAGGGGAGGTACAGTATTGTGGATGTGAGGGGTAGTTGATGATAGGGCAAATATCTTCTGATACATTTCCAATATTTGGTTTCAAAAACTTCATAATAAACTGTGGCTGTTGGTCATCATCGTACTGGTCATCTTGATTACATTTATTCTTTCAGGTTGTGGTGAAAGGTCGTGGACACACACACACCCTACAGTGTGACGGGTCTGTTGCCCACCAACTAACATTCCAGTTAAACCCTGAGTATGAGGTGTCTAGTCCCCCCATCCCTCTCTCAAGAGGTCTGGCAGATCAGGTAATTAATAGACAGTTAAAGATAGTGTAAGGAGTTGTTTCTGGATCACAACCCAGAAACATAGTTTGAATTTAGTAGATTTTGCAAAAGTTTTCAAATTTTAAACTTTAATTGAGTTACATATTTGAAAGCCGGTTCAGCTATACTTGTATGCATGCAAAATATGTCATATACTGTACATATAGTCTCTTTTTGAATACAGTACTGTACTGTATGTACTATTTTCAGCATAATATTCACTGTTACCTGTATTTATTTTTTTAATATTGGTATGTACTGTATGTTATAATCTGCATAATCAAAATTAATATTCATAAATTTGCTAAAAAATTTAATGAATTATTATAGATGAAATATAATGCATTTATACAATTTACATTTTATTCTGGATAAATAGTGTAGTGTATGGTAAGCTTATAGTAGTTACAAATGAAGTTATTCATGCTGCATTTTATCCAATGTTATAATATCCTGTAGAGCATAAGTAAAACCAAAGTGTACTATTGTCTTAATGGCACAAACTCATTTTAATCTGTATTTGGCAGATGAGACTCTCTCAGTCTCAGGAGGCGGTGGAGATATGCCGGTACTTGCAGCAGCTCTTTGATGGTCCTGAAGATCACTGGCCATATGTGGACACTTCTGACTTTATGGGGGATATTCTCTTTGCTGACCAGCCAAAGATTGATCTCCAGGTAATTATCCTAGATTGTACTACTACTACTACTCTCTCTCTCTCTGTCAGGAAACTTAAGCCTTGACTTAATATTCCTTACTTTTGGAGTCCTTGTATGATTTCAGCTTTTGTTGTGCATATGGTACATATTATGCAAAAGAAAGTTTTTCATTTAGAAGTAAATTACTTTTTCAGGTTGGGTTCTCTGGTCTGTACCCTTACTGCAGTACTCTGGTGGTTGATATCCGACCTTGGGCCCTAATGGTGAATCACACAGGGATAGAAATATTGCTTCAAGAGGCTGACTCCTCCAGCAGTTGGTTTGTTCCTCCTGGGGCTGTATTTGCTCCTCCTAAACTAGATGGACTCTTCACAATTGGCTTAATGGAGAATCACCAGCATTTCCATACCTCATCATTACAGCTGTCTAAGGAAGACCGCTGGTACAGTCTTAAGTTTGAAGGACGTATCCCTCGGCAAGGTTCCACAAATCTCCGCATTCCCACACAAGATAAAGTGTGTTTCATTACTGTGCTTTCCAGGTATGAGGAGAATATTCAGATTTTGCATCTTTTACCAACTTATTCCATAACTAATAACACTCAAGAGGAGCTAACTGTGCGCTCTATGTATGTTTATGCTGGGGACACCAAGATACAGCTGCCGGTCTCACTACCTGCACTAGAGTTATCCTCCAGATCAGGAACTACAAATATCAACATGAAGGAAGTACCACTCCTGCTGTGGCACATTTTAAAAGATCCAGGGACATCAAGCTCAGATGAAGAATTCTGCTGTATACAGATAGGACAAAATGGCTACCAAGCTCATCCTGTTGTGGTAAAGGACACTCCACCCGATCAAAGAATGACGTTCACGCTACCCGACAGGGATTCTGGACCTGTTCTTAATAGATCATTCCTAGTTACCTCCCACAAGCACTTAAGCCAGACTAAGATGGTCGTGCAAATCGACCCTTCACCACAGATGATCATACACAACAACACAAATGCATTGCTCATATTAGGTAAGACTCTTGTTATTATTATTATTTTATTCATATACTCAATGAAGTAAGATGATGGATTAATATATGTGGATAGGTGTGTTTATGCTTTATGGACATGATGGTGATGTGTGATGCTCGTTGGTGTGGATGGACGGAGATATATATCTTAGGGTCCTTATTTTTGAAGGGGAATGACTCAACAGAATACATTTATTACAGCAGTCTGAGAAAACAAGTGAAAGTAATATAAAGAAAGTTGTGTGTGCTGCTTGTGCTGTACCTGACTTCTCTAAAAGTGTGGTGGGGAGGGGAAAAGAAGAGAGAGAAAGTAACCAGAATGAAAGACATGTACATATGACTGATAAAATGGCAGCTGTTCAGTATTGGATATGTTTGATGATGAATAGTGAAATTTGTTAAGTTTGGTGACTATTAATGATGGCTCTGAGTATGAACAACGGTAAGGCAGAAGTTAGGGAAATGTTGTATGTTTTAAGTAAGTAACACAATACTGAGCCTGAGTATAATGTTATTAGGCTGAGTAAAATATTATTAAGTTGAGTTAAATATAATTAGGTTGGGTAGAATATGATATAGACATCAGCCTTTTCAGTTTTAAGTGTCTGGTGGCTTTATTAACATAGTGCATAACATTTAAGCTGAGTTACCTTGTTTTTGCAATACTGTATTATAATGCTTCGATTGTTTGTGTCTGCCTTATAGAAGTACTGTATATACTCTCTTGATTTCCACCCAGTAGACAAATAATGAGGTCTTGATCTCATAAAACTTAAATTTATGTCACCTGTACTTTTTTGCCATCTGATACTGTACAGTATTAATATTTGTTCTCACACATGAAAAATCAGAAAGTTGAAATACTATTTTAGTGAACTGTAAGTTACTGTGAGCTGAATGACGTTAACAATGATAGAATTAGCCACAAAGTGTGATGGATTTGTCAGCTGTCCTAGTTCAAATTATCTTCCTATTTATAATTATTTGTATAGCTGAACTGTCTCTCAATGTTGTTTGTGTACCTGCACAGTCTATGTACAGTTGCCCACAGGTATAGTGTTCCACCCTTTGGTGGCCTTTCCAAACATATGGCAATGTCGGAATCACTTTATGAATGAATTGGTAGCGTGAGGAGATTAGTTGTTGGCAGCTGCTCTCTTCATGTTACCGATTCATTCATAAATGATTCCAACATTGCCATATGTTCAGAAGGGCCACCGAGGGGTGGAACACTATACCTGTGGGCAACTGTACATTGTAAACCAAGTGACACTGTCTGTGTACAAGCTGAATCAGTTTGGACTTGTATGACAGTCTACTGTGTAAGTATTTAATAAAATATATCAATATAAGATAACAGTTAAGACTTAAACTTTGAAGAATTTCGTATGATTAGGAGAAATAATTTTTAATACCATTTTTATTGCAATGTTACAGGTCAGAGTTCAACCAAGGAAGAAGGCATAATGGAGGAAGAGCTGGACATGTTTGCTGCCATGCCCTCCGTTCCACCTAGCAAAGCCGTCCACTATACATTCCCATATATCTCGCACAGATTTCCAGAGATTACAACAAATAGTGTCGCATATCCGCGTCTTCATTTTTCTCAACCAGACATTCTCAACAATGGTGAGTAATGCTGCAGTATTTAGAGAATATGCATTTGGAATACAGACAGTGTGTGCAGTGAAGGATAAAACAGACCCTTGTATGCTGTGTTGGGGTGTTGATGTGGGAGGGGAATGCACATGTTATCAGATAAAATAGATGAATGAATGACACTGAGTGAAGGGAAAGTTTGTGTTTCTCATAGGTTTCAAATAGTGAAAAAATAAATACTTTTACTGTGGCTTCTTGACACTTGGCAGTGATGCATAATTTATATATAATTTCACATGTATATGTTTTTTCTACGTTAGAATTGTTCCTCAGGTACAATCAGCTATAACTGATAGTTTGATGTGCTTTAGTACTATTATGTGTGACTCACCAGGTTTAATATCAGACAAACAATAAAAGAGTGTGTCTTGGAACAGTCGTATTAAAGAACACAACTCATTTTGCATCAGCTAGCCAGAGAAGAGGAACAGTCGTATTAAAGAACACAACTCATTTTGCATCAGCTAGCCAGAGAAGAGATATTATCAGATTGGTGTTAAGAATTTACTTATTTACTTGACTTTGCAGCTGAGACTGAGGAGGTACTGTGGAGTCAGGGTGTAGACATTCAACAGCACTATGACCAGTTTGTGAGTATCCCTGGCTATGGTGATGTGAAGGTACGGATAGAGCGCGTTGCACACACCACCCACGTTTTCATCGATCCAGTCAGTCGAGTGGAGGTGTCTGCCAGGGACATCAGGAGTCGCATAGCAGCTGAACCATCAAAGGGTCGAGTGGCCACATCAACCAATAAGGGAAGAGCAGTAAAGGAAAAAGAAGGTGTGGTATTTGAAGTAGAACACACAGTTGGAGCCGAAGGTTCTGTGAGTGCCGACGACTCGCCTATAAAAGAAACAATTTCTGGAAAGATAGATTGTGATGAGACTGTGTTGCCTCCACCAGTGGCTCCACCTAAGACAGAGGTCAAGTCTACCACTGTGGTTTACTGCACATTCATGTGTACTCGGGTTGTTTTAGTTCTGAAAGATGATGTGAGTGATCAGGAAAATATTTCAGAGATATTGAGAGTTACTCTTGATAATTTTATTGTAAGTTTAAGACCTAAAATTGATCTGTCAGAAAAGCTTCGGGCCCTTGATTATAGAGTGAAGGAGCGAGTTGAAGTTATCCTTTTTGTTGGTGATGCACAAATTGATAATCAGCTCTTTGTATCTGGTAAATATGACTTCCCTGTGATATTAATAAGACAGGACCATGAATCAGCTCCTAAATTTTCACCACTAGATCCCATAGAAAGAGCAATACAAATATCTCACAACAATGCACTTTTTACTCTCTCTGTAGTCTTGGAGCGATCCACCACAAACTTGTGCATACATTCCGTCCACATAAAGCAGAAGCCCATTACTCTGTATGCTGAAGATGCAGTGTTTTATTCGCTTATGGAAATTCTCCTGTCTTTCCTTCCGGTGTCAAAGCACAAAGCAACTAATTTTGGAGGTGAAATAGAGAGAAATGAAGAAGAAGAGAGCATGCCAGTAATTATGAGAATGCCAAATGCTGTGCTATTGAAATCAAGAGCCATGACTCACCCCATTCAGATGTCTCACTGTACAATTGAACCAATCTCAGTGTTGCTTAGCGTCCACGCCTCGGTCAAACTGTACGTTGCCCTCGATCAATCTCCTCTCAACTTTGGTGGTTTTCAGCGATCGGAAATCATGACAACTAGTTACACTCTCGGGCATAATCTGACAATGCATTACCTGTCGGGGGCACTCATCCGAGCAGGATGGGTTGTGGGATCCCTTGATTTGCTTGGAAATCCTGGAGGATTTGCCAGGACAGTTGGATCAGGAGTAAGGGATTTTGTGCAACTCCCATATGAAGGTATTCTTCTAGGTCCTTGGGCCTTCATCGCTGGAGTGACTCATGGTTCATTGTCATTAGTGAAGCATCTTACAGCAGGTAAGAACACTTGTTGTTAATCACTTTGTTTTTGTAATAGCTGCATCATATTATTCTACTGTAATGCTTTGTTGTTTTGTTTTGTTTTTTAGTAAATAAAATATCTTGCAGATAAAACAGACATGAGCTATTCAAACTGTGCTAAGTGTTGTATGTTAACATTTTGACTGTGTAATGGCTTCATTTCTCCATCCTATGTCTGCTTTGAACTTTTTGTGGGTGTTCTGCAGGAATAAGAGAAATTTATTAGTTTTCAGTGAACCAAGAATGTGATTTCCAGTAATTTTAGTTTTCCATTACTGTATTTCCTTGGTCAGTATTAGAGTTTGACTTTTCTTTGGAGACTTGTTGTCTTCATCAATTGCAATGCCTTAACCCTTTTTTAAGAGTTAGAAGTTCGGTGATTATTTTCCTTCTAGAAAATATTATGTTTTGAAAGAATTGACTATACATATAACACATCTCTTCATCCTTATAGGAACAGTAGTGTCCTTGACAAACTTGGCCAGTTCTGTTGCTCGTAATATGGAACGACTCTCGCTGGACGAAGACCACATAGAACGTAGTGAAGCAGGACGACGCTTTCACGCATCTGGTCTTGTGCACGGACTCGTACAGGGACTATCAGCCTTTGGAATTTCTCTGTTAGGTAATGTTTTTGTTGCTGAAGATTTATAGTTGTCATCCCTCCTTTGTGAGATATTTGTTGCTTAGATCCTGTTAGAATTAAAGTTATTTAATTCCTTCAGTAGAACACTCACATTGTGTATCATCTTTATCTAATATTTTTCCAGGTTTTAAAATTCCCAAAGGTCATTAGTCTTTTTTTTAAATTGTGTTTTTCTAGTGTACAAAACATAGCTGAAACCTCGTACAGGACTACAGTAATTTTGGTGTACAATATTGTATGATTATTTGGGAGTTCAAACAGTTGATTTTTACAAACATATACATCACTTGTACACGTGCCGTTTGATATATTTAAAACACAAACTTTTGGAGTCTGTTGTGTTATAATATATACTGCAGAATGTTCTTTCTTATGGTGTTTTATTGAATGTTATATAATTTAGAAACAAGATATTTGTTATTATCTTGTATTTATGGTGTCTACAGTATTGTGTTGTGAAAAGTTCATATTTTTGGTAATACAGTATAGTACAGTATTAGTGTAATATCTGCTTCCTGGTGTTGTATTTATTCAATATACTGTAGTAATTTCTGTTTTAAAATTATTAATATACTGTAGTAGTTCCTGATTTCCATTGTTCCATAAATACAGAACAGTATCAACCCCATGTAGTTTAAGTTGTTGTATCAGTACAATAATATCTACTGTATATTCTGGTGTTGTATCAGTACCTAATCTTCTATGATCTGATGTGGTGTATTAATACTAAACTTGTGGTGTCTAGTACTGACTGGGATCTGGTGTGAGGTAATAGAAAAGTTTTCATATTTTATATTTGATTATTATAATATTTTCTACTTTAGATATAAATTAGAGGAAATGTTTGTTTACACACAAACATAATACATATACAGTATTAACTACCCCTTCATACTCTCCCTTTAAAGCAGATTTACCTTGTGTTACATATATTATTATTTTTTTTAACTTACTGTAGTTATTTTATGTATGGTATTAAATTAGGAATAATCACTTTGAAGAACTGTGACTAGATTCAGCATACAGAGGTGACAGCCTAACCATTTACACACACCAGGTGCTGTTGGTGGGCTGGCACACCAACCCATGCAGGCTATGATGAATGAAGGCGCTAGTGCCAGCAGTGTGGTGGGGGGCGTCGGCAAGGGTCTGGTCGGTATTGTCACCAAGCCTATAGGTGGTGCTGCTGACCTCCTGGTTCACACTGGCCAAGGCTTATTGCAGGTACTGTACCATGATTAATATCATAGTGATTCTTACACAAACTGGGATTAGGCTATTAGGGTTTCATGTAGGTACAGGGGTTAAATTCGGTGATTCTTACGGACAATAGTGGGTTGTCAATTTTGTATATCTACAGTATTTAAGCCTCATTTCATATTATAGTTTAAATATTAGGAAAAATTGATTAGCTGAGGGAAGACAATAGATGTAGTATATAATAGTTACCACTGAAACTATCATGGAGGATAGTCTAGGATTTGTTTATACTGTATTTTGATCTTGGGAAATTCTTAGGGGCGGCAATACAGTACTGTAGATTCTCTTGTTGTGGACCTTTTACAGTATTTAGATTTTGATATATAATGAACCTAACTTTTAAATACATGAAAAATATGAACTCATGCACTTACATTTTTTTTTTAAAGTGTTTAAAGACAATTAATTATTGAAATATTGCTCTGAGAACAATACCCTGTTTGGTGCTTGGTAAAATCCTAGTATGGTCATGGCACTCACCCCTTTTGTCTTTGAAAATTTGGTTGAAATCATTTAATTATTATGATACTTCCTAGCATTGGGTGACCCTCATTGATGACCTGTGACCTAGATTTACTTCCAGTGTTGATCAAAACTGTGCAGTGATGAGCTATTTTTTATTCCAACCAACAGTGAAATTTTAGAAAATATCAGACCCACATGTAGATGCTGGTGTATCAAAGGCAAAGTTGGAGCACACAGGGAAAAAATAAATGAACATAAAGATATAAGTTATTGTTAATAGATTTAACCCCTTCACTATGGGGATGCCACTTTTAATATTTTATTTGGCTAATGCCAGACTATTTTATTCAGCAGAGAGGGATCCGATAAACAAGTGGTTAATAAGATATACTGTACCACATTTGTGAAGCTGTTGGATGAGTGTGGCCAGAAAAGAACTTTTAGAAGTTTAGATGGGAACTGGTATTTTATTTTTTTAACTTCTCATACAGTAAACCCTTGCTATTCGTGAGGGTTAGGTTCCAAGGAATGGCGCAAATTGGCAAAACCACGAATGGTAACATGTGCTACCTTAGTGCACTACTGTATACCTATATACTGTACTGTGTATGAGAAAATTAAGTCGCCAATACTACTTTCATTCGTATGTGGAAGCTTGGAGCTTGAAGAAGTGTACTGTACATAGGGAGGCATCTGGTTACTGAAGCATAGGGAGATCATCAGGATCACTGTTGGAAGAGGGTGGTGCAGTGGTGGTTGTTGGAGTGGCGGCAGCAGCTGACTGAGCGAGGGAGGTGAGATGACTCAGCTGGACGAGTGGCTGGTTCTTGAAAAACATCGTGATTGGTAGTTGTTTTCTGTTGGCTTTAAGGTCTTTAAATGTTTCCTGGTAGGGTAACAATACCTGGTTGATTTCTCAGACCATCTTAAGGCTCCGTTCCATGGAAGGGTCGTGGTCAACAATGAAATCAGTTACCACCTTCACATGTTGAAATAGTTCACCAAAATTATTCAAGCCCCAACCTTCTTGTTGCAATTTCATAATTTCTTCTGCTTCATCTTCCTCAGCACTTTTTACCAGATGGGCAAGGAGTGGAACATTTATGGAACCAATCCAGGAATGCTTGCACAGTTACCCATGCCTTTTTGTTGGACCACCAAAAAACTGGCAAAAGTTTCTTGTTTTACCCTTTAAAGCCCTAGGTTTTGCTGAGCAGTAAAGTAAGCCAGGTTTGATCGTGTAGCCGCTGCACTGCCACAGAAGATTAGCATCACTCTGTCTTTGTCTGCCTGCTTGTTTATGTACATTCTACCGGGCATCTTTTTCCAATATAGACTGGATTCGTCGGCATTAAATGCTTGCGCTGATCTTTAGCCCTTCTGTTCTATTATTTTCTTTAACTTTGGGGGAAATGCATCTGCAGTTGTGTAGTCAGCTGATGTGGTCTCCCCAGTCAGCTTTACATTATGGAGAGAGTAGCTTTTCTTAAAATTCTCAAACCAACTTTTACTGGCACTAAAAGTTGGTTCAGTAGCCGCACAAGCCCATTCGCCACCTGTTGACCCATAAAAATGGGCATAAAGGCTCTGAGCCTTCTCACGAATCACGTTAGTGTCGATCGGAACATTTTTGCGGTGCTGGACCTCGATCCAAATGATCAGTAATTTTTCTGTTTTTACTATTTTCTTGTCACAAACAACCTGCACCACTTTAGCACTTGCAGGAGCACTTGCTTGAACAGAATCGCGAATTGCTTGTTCATTCTTTCTTATGTACCACAGTGTGGATTCGTTCACACCAAACAACCAACCAGACCACTTATCCACTCCTTTAACTTGTCTAATAATTCAACTTGCTTTGTCAGGGTCATCACTGACTTATGTCTTTTATGCTTCACTCCACTAGCATCATGAGCACTGACACTAGGCAGTCTTTTAGGGGCCATTTTCACACACAAACACTAAAGTTTTGAGAGTACAACACAAGATGCTGCATCACAGGCAAAGGTTGAACACAAACAGAGGGAGAGGAGACGCTGCAGGTGCGTAGGGTGACTTGTTGCGTTGTGGGAGAGGCTAGCAAGCTAGCCACCATCTGCTTTCTGCAAAGCATCGAAATCACGAATCGCAAACCCACAAATGGCATATTCTGTATTTGTTAACCAGTGTCAGCTGGTGTTTAACCCTTTGAGTGCCCTTTGAGTATTATGTCTAAACCATTTAATACAATGTCATTGCACACAGAAAATTAAGTTGTTGCTCTGAATGGGTTAATAATCACAATTAATATTTCAGGGTGCAGGATGGCACCGAGAACAGGTTCCTCGTTATCAACCATTGGTAGAACCTCACAACAAGGAGTTGAATGCTCCTCTTAAACTGGTGTGGAAACTGGTGGCTGCATTACCTCAGGAGTGCAGAGCCGTGCTGGCAGCTGTTGATGCCACTCATCTTACAACTGCAGGGTCTTACACACCTGTTACTGTCTTACTCACACCACAAGTAAGATCATGCCAACTAATGTTTTTGGGGGGATTGGTCCTTAATAAAAAACCAAAACAGACTGAATGTATCAAGCATTCTGAAGGTGAATATGATGTAAGTTGTAAAAAAAAAATATTGCCACTCACAGTGTTGACCCTATTTTGTACTTTATTTGTACCTGTAAGTGGATGTTCTTTATAAATTCCACTGAACCAACTGATAGGAGTGACACTGACAATTATCCTCTGGTTTCTCATAAGTACTGTACAGATATAAGATTATTACAGTGCTGTACAGTATTGCACTTTTCTACCTGTACAGTGTATCACTTGTGTTTTCATGAATAACATGTTTTGTGGCATTTTAAGACTTTTGGGGAAGTTTTTTTATTTCACAGTAACATATCTCATCTTTTATAGTGGGAGTCTGTGGGAAAATGCGATCTGATATACAAAAAGTCAACTTATGAAATGTTCGGTTGTCAGAATCAGAAGGAACCTTTTCAAAAACTTAATTACATTCATTTGAATTAAATTATCTTTATTATTTTCATTTTAATTCTTTAATTAACTTTAGTGTTTTGGTCAGGTGTTGTTTATTCTGAGTGTTGAAGAAGATGCCCAGCAACACGCCCTTCCTCTGGCGGAGGTCACCTGGCGGCCACACCCTGCTGACCCGACCCTCATTTATATTGAAAAGGTCCAGCCAGAACCTAAGCCTCAGAACCCGGATATGGAGGCGAGTTGGTGCAAGTTTTACATTGCATAATTATTTACATTAAAATAATTTCATATTTGTATTTTTTTTTAGTGATGAAGCAAGTATGTTGATACAGTATTTATTTTAAGAGAATGATAAAACCAGCACGTATATGTTGATATTTTTTTGTTCAGGAATGAAGAAATATGTTGATATCATACAGTTGGAACTCATTCTCTGTCTTTCATTATGTTTCATTTATTAGCTAACTGTGGAGTTTATTCCCAGCCGGTGAGTGGGTGTCCGGAGCGAGTTGCCGACTACGTACGCAGCACCTGTAGCGAAGGTGTGGAGGCTGGTGGCCTGGACTCCACCCCAGGGTCATCAGAGGAGGGGGATCACATGACCGGTCACCTCACCCGCATCAAGCTCTATGTTTCGCCCCGTTTAAGACCGGCGTTACTATCTGCCATCAACATAGCAGCACGGGCCAGTCAGGGAAGAGGATTCATAGTATGATTGGTGAGGTATAGTTATGGTATGGTGGTGAGGCTACAGTTATATAGTGGTGAGGTACAGTTATCATATGGTAGGTCAGGTACAGTTATAGTATGGTTAACTCAACTCTCTTTCTTGTAATCTCTTAACCATCCACTCCAACCATCCATCTTAAAGTTCAAATGTATCTGTTGACTAGGTAGGCTGTGGCATGATAACCTTCAGCAAGACTTTTTTATGCTATTGTTCTTTAGTTAATGTTGGATAACCCATAATATCCATGAGTATTATCATTGTCTTTATCCACAACCTACATTACATACAGTACTTGTATCTCTCAACATGTTCTTCTCGGAGGGATCTTTTGTACTGTAGTTTGCAATAGGAAATTACATATTAAATATAAAAAAAGAGCATAGCCTAAGGCAGTAAGATTCCAGATGTACACTTTGTGAGAGCTGTGTTCCCTATTTTTATACATTCAAAATGAACCAGTTACATGAATTCTAACAAGTCACCATGTACAATATTTTCAGAGGAAAGTCTTTATAGGTGATCTAACTTGGTATATGAAAGTGACTGAGGTTAACATGGTTATGTGTGTGTCTATGTGAGTATGGATAAAGAATTCTTCCATTTTATATGCTGATAAAATTAACTCAAGAGATGATATGTAGGGATTTATTTTGAGAATAAGATGAAAAAATAACACAAGGTTAGAGACAAAAGACTTGGTCTTTACTTTGTGAGAGATCTGATGTTAGTATGTGACAGACAGGAGCACAGAAATTGAAGAAATATGCCAATAGACTTTTATTTATTCTCAAACATAATCATTTTCGCTAGTATAATTGTAACATTACTCTTCTTGGCTTCATATTAAAATTTATAAATCATCTGCTTTTTGTGTAGTTTGAAATTATAAGTTATAAAATTGTTAAGGTTACTTGTTCACTGTCCTGGACTGTGCTAGTGTAGAGAATCTCTTAGACTGTAGATAGGTTTGGATTTGTCTACATCAGGTCCACTATACTGTATCTCTAACAAAGATGATTAAATTACAGTATATATTATTTATCTTATCGTAATGTGCTCCAAGGTGGTGTAACGAGGATGTTCTATGCAGGACTGTGATAATGTATGTATGGGGAAAATTAGCTGTAATTTTTTGTAGATTTCATTTTTTGATAATTGTCTCTGAAGGAAGAAGAAATATTACAAGGTGGAAAATGGATCATTGTGATGTTATTGATAGAAATCTACGGGTTAAAAACAGCAACACTCAAGACTCAACAATACTGGATACTGAACCATCAGAGATACAGTATACCATGATGCCAACACAAGATATCATTACCATTGAATATTAATGTAGTTATTGTCTCCATAATGATTGTGAAAGACATGTATGTACAAGTAGTATATATGATGGCCAACACCTGTGTACACAAAGGTCCTGGTGCAACAGTTTCATTCCACAATTGTAGTGCTAAAACACACTTATTAAATTCTTACAGGAAGCAAATAATTAACCTAAAAAGTTGAGGTTAGTTTAGAGTCATTTGCAAAAGTAATCGTGAAAATTATAGGTTTTGGACAATGAATTCTTTGTCAACATATTAATATGAATCTGTATTGAGATTTTTAAGAAAAATAACTGAGCTATACACCTGTCTTGTCTTTAACTATTTTATGTTGTTCAGAATGTTAGTATAGGTACAGTACAGGTAATCCTTAACACGTTGATTAAGGATCTGGGGTAAAAAAGTTCAATACTTAATGATTCTTGTATATTGTAATTCATTTTGTAACTGTAAACACTTTCTTTTTGTAATTTTTCAATGCTGATTTTTATTGTTTTTTTTTTTCTTTTTTCTGGATATATTAATTTCCAATTCCAAGAGAAAAAGTTTCCAATTATGGGAGAAAAAACATAAAAAATATATATATACACCAAAGCTAACTTACCCCTAAACGTTTTGGCAATTGTGAAAATTTCCATTTGCTTCAAAATTTCAATACTGTTTAGGTACTGTACTCCTTGACGTGCTGACACATGATCCAGGGTTAAGATACTGTAAGTGTCTAATGAACCTTAATATTATTTTATCTGTTTTTATTTGCTGATTTCATGGTTCCTTTAAGTGTTGAAGCTGTGTTTATACACCTGGACACAAGAACAGAGCTAAGAAAATCTAAATCTAAGACAGAAAGAATTGTTTGACATAATATAATAGTTCTCCTCAACATGCTGGTGAAGGAACTGTAGTGAGTACTTTATATTTCTGATTATTTGTGTAGTTGTGAATCTTCCTCATGAAGATGGGATGTCATGTATACTTGTGTATGTGATGTTTTATTATTGTGAGTATCAATGTGTGTACAGTACAGTACAGGTACAGGTACAGGTACAGGTACAGTACAGTACATCAGCATAGTGGATTGATTGTGTTGGCTATTTACAGTATTGTATAGTAGTACTCATAAACAGTATACATATACAATACAGTGTACAATATTTATACATTTATACATAATTGTAAATGAAAGAATAAAACTAAAGGTCATGCATTCACATATGTATCTGTACATGGAAATATATGAATGAATAATTCTTTATACTGGAGAATGGTGTTTGTTTATGTACAATAGTAATGGTGTTTAAGAATGTTAAAATTAAGTACTGTAACATTTCTGTGTGCATATTGATGATTATTATGGATACTACATGATTTCATAATGGTTAAATTTTGTGTGCGTGCATGTTTGTGTGTGTGTGTGTGTGTGTTTGTATTCTTGTCTTTATTTGTCCATACATTACATTACAATATTCATGCATTAATATTTCAGCACACACATATATGCCATCACACACAGTGCTGTACAAGATGATTCACTCACTGTTACTGTAGAAAAGAGGAAAGGTGTTCCATAATAAGCCCCGGGAGACTGAAGCCATCCAAGAGAACAAGTTACAGAGAACATTCCCTAATATGGAAATCAGTCCATAAATAACAGTTATATTAATAAAACTCTAGGGTTACCAGCGAGTGAATCACCCTGTAAGTACGTGTAAGAGTTACCTTGTATGTGTCCTCAACTGTTTAATTATTACTACTTGTGCTTGTAATACATATTTATTGTGTTTCATCATATAATTAGGTTTGTGTGTCATTGTATTTATGGGTGTGAGTAAATGTATATATTTGGTAAGTAACAGATGCCTGAGGTGTCCATATATAGAATTTCACTTCATAAAACTAAAGAACCAAGTAAAGAAAGTGTATATATTAATAAATCATATATTATAATATTTATTTAGGTTTATTTCCAATACATTATGCACAAAAGTTTCAGTTTAGTTATCCTTCTGTTGATTCAGATCTAGGCTTCCCTGGTATTGCAGTTAACCCTTACACTATAGGGACACCATTTTTAATATTTTATTTGGATAATGCTAAACAAATTTATTGAGCTCAGAGGTTACGTAACTAATTGTAATAAGAGAAGGTCACTGTCTCTTTTTCTGATTTTTTTATTGCCAATTGAGAATGTTTATTGAAAGATGTACCTGAAAAATTACATTAATATAAAAGAATGAGATGTGTGTGTGGTATAGGTGCGGTCAAAATTGCTTGGACATTTAGGTTACAGCATCTGGGTTCTAGGTGTGAGTCGTGTGTGTGTGATTGGTTTATAGCTGGTGAACACCCAGGTATATTACACCAAAAAAATCACTTATCATATCATTCAGAGAAGTGCATACTGATAAGGGAGTTTCATCTGTCTTCAATTTTAATAGTTGATAGACCTCAGTTGTTTAAATGCAGTCATAACATTAGCGTCAACTGATGCACAATCTAATACATACATGACGGCAAGTTATCGGCACATGACAGAAACAAGTGATTATGGTGGAGTTACTAACACATGATATTATACCGTCTGGTTTAATACACAAGTTTGAAGATATTTACCATAAATTTGCATCTAGAACTTTGAGCCAACTCTTGTACTGGCACCATGGACAGTACAATAAGAAAAAGAGTGAAATTTTTATAACTGACAAAACTGTTGGTAATTTTTAATTTATAAAAACTTTACATATAACGAGTTTCTTTGACTAGCATGGTATAAATTATGATAAAATTAATATAAAATATGTATACCCGTATTGGTTTGATGCATAAAAGAATGATATTTACCTGGTTTTAGTGGCACTCGTGGCAGAGTAAGTAGGAGTGGCGTGCACAGACATTATGTCTGCAGGAAATGCAGGTGGATCTTGTCGTCACATCGTCCTTTCTTGAGCACAGAACACACCTCTTATACTGGCTGCCCAGAATGTACTAGACGAACAGCAGGAAGGTTGAGGTTAAACCTGCTAAGTTGATCCTCTTAGATGCCCATGGATGGACCAGCTCAACAGCAAGTTGTTATAGGAAATGCCATCTCCCGATCTTGCTTCCACCTTGCTCTGCACATTTATGTTTATAAATAACATTAGCATTGACTGTTCCAGCATTTACAATACCAAAAACAATGCAGAGCGGCCATATTTTGGTTTTCCTGCTTGTGGAATATGTAGAGCAGAGTTGATCAATCTATCTAATCCACCCTTAATTTTGTTGTAGTAGTGAACAATTTCAAGCTTGAGGGTGTCCTCTATCATTTTCCCCTAGTGGTGTTTGGTAGAGAGGAGGACAACCATCTTCTGCTTCATGGCATAGTAGCTTACCAAGGTGGACCTTCGATCAAAGAGAAATGTGGCAGTTTTCAGCTGGCGAGTTCTTGTGTCTTCCGCATTGTCCCCACTATTGAGACACCCAAAGACTCGAGGGAAGCAGCCAAAGGATGCGAGGTGAAGAAGTTGTTCCTCGTAACCGTCCTCTGGGTGTGGAAGTAAGGTTTCATGAGTTCTGTTGTAAAATACTCCCCCAGCAACACTCCAGGTGGTGGCTTGGTATGGGTCCCGAGGTATGGTATGGCACTGACCATGTATTTTGATTGCACGTCACTTGCCATCACCAGCATCAAACCGTATTTTGTTGGTTTATTCCCAATATACTGCCGGAAAGAACATCTTACTCGAAAATCAAGAAGCTGTTCATCAACAGTAATATTTTCGTGTGGTGTGTAGTTCCCAGTGCATTTCTTGATAAAGGTGTCCCACATTTCCCTTACTACTGCAAACTTGTCCTCCTGCCTCTGTTCTTCCCATGTGTCTGTGTCATCAAAGCGAAGGCAGCGTAGTAAGAAGCAAAATCTACGCTCTAACATGACTGTTCTGTACAGTGGTGTGCCATAATGGATGTTCCACCTCTGTGATGTTGTAACATTGTTGCCCTCCTTACTGCAGCCATGAGGAGAACCCCCACAAGGGCCATCACCTCTGCAACTGAAGTGTGTGACTGTGTGGCTCTGGTTATTTTGAAGTGATTGGCAACCTTGTCTATATCTGTTAGTGTGATTAACAATGATGTTAGTGTAAAAGGATTGATTAAAAGATAGTTCGTGGCATTTCACTGGAGTCTGTGCATGTTGGGAGGCAGCTATGGGTCCTAGAGTATAATGTGATGCTTGTGTGTTTGTCTGTCTGTAGTGCCTTCTTGCTCCTGGTGTCATAGTTCACACATGGCCATCTTTACCACGTAGAACATTTCTGCTGAATGTGTGGACATAGGTATCAGCATCTCTGTCTTCTCCTGTGGGTGATCTACGTCGCCATGTGGTAGAGGTGCGTCTGGGGGAGCCTTCTGGGGAGCTGGGTGGATCGTCCACTTCTTCACTATCCGATGAAAAATAGGTGGTGCAGCGACTCTTCCCTGGTCGCGTAACTGAGTGGCTGGAGGTAGGGGTGGTGGAGGGGGCCCTACTGGTACCTGGGGAGACCGGGGCAGGTGGTGGACACTGTTGGCTGCTGAGCGTCCTCCAGGGCCTTGGATCGGGAGCGACACACAACACACCCCCACTGCGAGAACACGAGGCAGACTGACTGTAGACAGGACCAGGACCACAAGTGCCAAGATCGCCCAGCAAATACATATGAGCACCAACAAGCTAAATCCTGCTCGGTGTGGGGATTTGGGGATCCCACATTACCTATGTAGGGTTAAAATAGACACCATGTGATCACCCGCCACACAGCTTCCGCTTTAAACACAAAAATCGATGAGCTTCTGACCATACTTCAACCTTAAGACATCAACTGGAGTTAACAGTTGACACCATACTGCTTTTGGAAATTTTATGCTACAAACACATTTACTCGTCTACCAGTTAAATGTCATGCAAATTTTTAATTCCTCTTATAAAAATCAGGTGTGGGGGAGATCTCCAACACACACCTACATATAATTTGTTTACAGAGTTAAGAGCTTAGATGACTATTACCTACTAAGCTCAACGGTGTTCAGACATATTTTGGCTAGGAAAAGTTATAGGATATAAATATCTTTAAAACACAATTGCCCAAAATAAGTTAGATTAGGGAAGGTTAAATTGGGTTATGGTTAAGATAAGGTTGAGATTAGATTGAGGTTAAGATTAAATAAAATCAAGGAAAGGTTAAATAGTTAAAGCTAGATAAGATTCATGACTTTTCCCAACATTAACACCACATGAGACCTTAAGTACACTAGTTAACATTAACAACCCCCTACACTATTACTAGACACCTCACTATTCTGTATTTACACTAATCTAACAATGAATCCAGCTAAACGTGACTTACCTCTAAACACTTAAAAAGATAATCACTTCCATCTCGACTGATCTATAGATACTGTACTTTAATCTCAAGACTAAATTACTTACTTTTTATCTCAGGACTGACTTAGATACTTACTTTTCTCTCAAGACTGACTTAAATACTTATCTCAAGACTGACGTATGATAATTTTATCTCAAGCCTTGGGATGCTACAGTTACCTCCACAACAGAAACTATACACCTCAACATTTCAGTTTTTGTACACAAACACAACACTGAGGTCCCCAAAACAGTAGAGTACCACCAATATTTACGAGCTTGAACCAAGAGGTCACAAGCCAATCACAGATTGATGAATTATATCTACGTACTACAATAGGAATGTTTTTTAATAAAGATATGAATCTGAATAAAATATAGGCCTACACTACTTTCATGTTTAGCTAGTCAAGCCATTCAATACTTTATATTCTAAAGCGACACAAAGGTGCGATTATCTTGAATGTTACAACCCAGCAACACAATCAACAAGTTGCGTATAAGGTACGCAATGCTGGCAGACACCCTGAACACGCGAGTTGCGGAAGACAACCCTGCACAAGTGCTAGCCCATTTAATATTTATATTATTATTCCTTCATCCTTAATTATACGACCAAAGTATCTCATTTTCTCTTTATGTACAATTCCTGTCTGTCTCTGAAGTTTTTACCGATCTTAGTACTTCTTCATATATTTTCCTGTCAGTGTTGTTTGTTCTTATCATTCGCCTATAACACCACATTTCGAAAGGCCTCCAACCTCTTTCTGGTGTCTGCTGTAAGTGTCCACGCCTCTGACACAAATATCGGTCCTTGCCATATACTGTAGAGCCTTTCAGCAGCTTTTTTCTCAAATTAAAGTCAATGTCCCTTTTCATTAGGTCTCTTAGATCATAAATGCTGTTTTTTCCTTGTCCATTGACGTACTGTGTGGTAATATCAAGTCTTAGTTTTAAATTGACTTAACTTTTTGTTCTTCAAAATCTTAAATGGGAGTTACAATGTTGCAAAGAAAAACTCGTCCTGAGTCAATTAAGTGCAATAGAATCAGTAAAAAGAGGACTTGTATTTCCAGTGAGGATATAAATAAAAAGTAAAAGTAATCGTGGATCAGTAGCCCAGATACATTTTTTGGAGTATGGTACTGTATACAAGGATTTGTGTGTGTGTAGTTTGGGTCACATAATACACATATACACAAACACACAAAATAATACAAACACACAAATTAATACACATATATACCCAAACACACAAAAGACAGACAAAACACACATCCTAGTACCAACACGGGAGGAAGGCAGGCAGCCAAGGTAGGGTTGGGTCACACGCTCGCTCCCGGATCTCCGAGTGTTAAGATGAGTTTTTGTTGTGATCTTATACGTGCCTAAACAACTTTATCCGCATTCATTGTAATCCAAGCCGCCACACTCAACTCTTTAATGAAGATCAAGTATTACAGGTAACATAGAATACATAAGATGAGTTCTAAGTGGTTCATGGTTCACTAGAGGTATGATAAGTGGTTCAGAGTTTACTAAGGGTTCTTCGTGTACTGCAAGGT